GACTCAAAGAAAAAATCTATCCTCAGCTTGGATTCGTCATTACAGCCATCGTGAGTCCAGTTACAATCTTAATGAACATCTTAGTAATCTTAGTTAATTCTATTGACAAACATCAGTCACTCGTGAAGCCTAGTTTGAAGTAAAAAAACGACCAAAACTAACAAATATTTCTTTCGTTTTCCTTTGAAGAGCCTTATCTCTGTTGACAAAAGTTACAGATGTTGACCGATAAAATGTTCACAGAGATGTCTTTGTATTAAGGTATCGGTGAAAAATCTCTTCCTTACGCTTTTAAGAAATATTCTTTTTGTTTCATTCGTCTTTGAAAAATGGTTTATTAGCAATATGAAAATGTACAATAATTGGAAATATTCGTGTCACGAAAACGCAAAAGACTTGTTTTGCTCTTTTCAGCGCATTTGTGAGAACTCTTGGCTTGCACGAATGGTCGTTATATGACTTTTCTCGTCGTGTAATTCTTTTTTCAATAGCAGGTAATTTAGCTTTTTACCCTTTTCGGTGGCTAATTTACATTTTCAACTCAGTTGTTAACACTAAATTACCTGCTATACTCTCCCACAGACGCAGAACCACAGTTTCTTTTGAAACTTACCTCTTTATTCTTTTTTCAATAGAATATTTGTGATGTATGTACCTCATGTGATGGTTTAGCAAGTAATACGGTGAATATTTTGCGAGTTGCGTTTTCCAGTGCCCCGCAGAAGCAAATAAAATACGAGCAATGAGAAAATGTACCGTAAACGTTAACAAAAAAGAATATCGATAATTATCTCTGAAAAATATTTATTCCGCATTGTAGACAACTGATGTAAAAAAACGACTTTTCCAATCTCAATTTCTCATTTGATTTTCCGACTCGTTATTCTCCATTTCTTGTTTCCCGTTTTAGTAACAACCTTCTCGTTATTGACGGTCCTTCAAGTGTGCTTTCGATTGAATATTGCAAGTAATTCGGGCTTACATTGATTTTCGTTTGGTTTGCTTTGTGATTGCTTGAGGAACTAACGACCCGATCTCAACCAACCAGAAACAAGACTGAATCTAATCACCACCTGGTGATGCACATTTTCCCGCGCTTCAAGCATTTTGCTTTGTTTCACTTTGAGATCTTATTGGCTACTTGTGATAATTCTCCGTGTTCTGATGGAATGCTGCAAAAACTAAAATTTTGATTATACGACACTCGATCAAAATGCCCTCTGTTCATCTACTATAGTGACTGGCGGCTGATTTCTCCCTACAGTATATAACCCTTCAATCAAATTAAAAGGTAATGAGAGGAAAGAAAATGATCACCAAATTCGAGAAGCTCCTGATTATCAAACAATTCTCCTCGTCACAAACATAGGATATCTAAAGAGAACAGTGCGGAGAAGAAGAATACTCAGGTGAGGCTGTCGAAGATCTAATTTCTCCTTACAATATCACCACTGAATCACACATTAATGTCATGAGAATAAAGGAAATGATCACCAACTAAAGAAACTCTTGATTGGTATACAAATTCTCCTTGTCAGCACCTCAGTAAATGTACAGAGAACAGTATGGAGAATATCAATAATGATGTTAGGGTGTGAAGGGTTAAGTAACATAATTCATCGCTAGAACTGTTGGCGCTGAATTGCGTCTTTAAGAGGTAGCCTGGGGCGATTTGTAACGAGTGTCTTTAGGTACAAGGTATTGGAAAGTATTTTAGGTCCACTCAAGGTTCCAATATGAACATTTTAATTTTACAACTCGGGACTGTATTTACAAACACAGCACAAGCGAGGATTTCTTTCGAAAAACAGAAGCACGAAGTCACACAGCCCATAAGGCTGTGCGCGCATACATCAGTGCGTCACGCCTAGTGTAATCACGACTAGTGTAGTCGACTTCTGATTTCCTTTACAAACACACGATAACTTTTTCTTCCTCTTTGCTTATTTCTTTGTAGGTGGAAGTTCAATCTGCACCTTAACAGTTTGAGTAAAAGGTTGAATCACTCCACGAAGGTTTTCATGCCTTGTTAAGGGTGGACATGACATTCTTCTGTTCATTATTACGACCGCTGGTTCTCGAGACACGGTTGGTGTTCCAGTGACCATGTGTGTGTCCGCTGTCCAGGACTGTGACCGTGTGAGGCGTTGACCTCTTTCTATGTAGACAAGCTCTTTCACATTTACAAACGCGGAGGAATATCGCTGGCGTCTTTTACGAATACCCACGTGAACCGCTGGCTGAACTTCCCGTGGCTTACTTAGCAGTCTAAGAGCAGCTTCCCTATATTTCCTGTGTCTATAAAAATACAGCGCAGGATTTACAATGGAGTTTAACAGGAGGAAAGTTTCTGCCCATCGCAAAACCGAAATTTCACGAAAAAAAAGGGAACGTTGCGCTAAGACGTGTGCAACCCCTAAAGGAACGATAGCGATTAAAATGGCAATTGTTAGCAGAAACACCGTCAAAGCCGTTTTACTTTCCATCCTCGCTTTGATCAGAGCATTGACGTGGCTGAATTGGCTTCGGTTCCGTTTTCGTATTCCGATATAAACCATGGAATAAAAATACACCATAAGGGTAAAGGCGAATAACTGGACAATAGCAAGTATAACACGAGGTACCATTTTGGAAGTAGCTTCTACTGCGAGAAATAAGACCGATGTTGCAAGGGCTATCATCCAAGCGATTATCGCTAATCTCGTTAAGCGTTTCTCAGTTACTATAGATTTGTACTTCATAGGCTTTACAACCGCAACATACCTCTCCCAACTGAACAGAATTACGTGATAGTACGAAGCACGGTAAGTAGTGCTCGAAACAAATTTGGTAAGTTTAGCTATCACACAGATCATGCCCACTGATATAGTTCCTCGAAGAATTAACGCATCTAAAGTGATGTTAAATGGGGCAGAAACCGCACCCACTATGAGATCTACGACTGCCAAACTGGTGACTAAAATGATAGAGTTTGTCTGCAATTCTCTCGTTTTCTTGATTGCTAAGATCACCAAAATGTTCAACAAAACTGCAAATAAACCTATTACGGCAGATAAAGCGATTCCAAGCTGTAGGAACGCTTTCCTTTCTAAATCCCAGATAATCAGCGGAGCACCTGGACAAAAGAACTTTGACCAGGAATAGTTTTCAAGGGGATCTTCAGACATACTCACATTCATGTCGACATATGATCGGTCGAGTGATCATCATGGCTCGGTTCACCCTCCAATATGGAGTCGAAGAACTTGAAGCTTACGTAATCATTCTTTGTCATTTTCCTTTTATGGACCGTAATTTCCGTTTAAAAAGAAATCACGGATGTTGACCGATGAAATCGTAACAGAGATGTCTTTGTATTAAGGCAACGGCGAGAAATCATTTTCTTCGGCTTTCAGCGCGAGTTTTTTGTTTTGTTTTATTTTTATTTGAAAATGAACATTTTCCTTTGAGGAGCCTGACTTCCGTGAGAAAAATCACATGTTGACCGATGAAATCTTCATAGAGATGTCTTTGTATTGAGGCAGCGGTGAGAAATCATTTCCTTAGGTTTTCAGAACGAGATTTTTTGTTTTATTCGTGTTTGAAAAATGGTTTATCAGCAACTCGAAAATGCACATTTTCCTTTGAGGAGCCTTATTTCATCAAAAAAAATCACATGTTGACCGAATAAATCTTCACAGAAATGTCTGTGATGAGGCAACGGTGAGAAATCATTTCCTTTCAGAACGAGTTTTTCGTTTTATTCGTATTTGAAAAAAATTGTTTACCAGCAATTTGAAAATGCACATTAGAAAAAAACGTCCTACGAAAACATGAAATGGCTTGTAATCTGATAGGATAATCTACGATGGTAAACCAAAGAAAAAAAAACAGCAAGGTGAAAAAAGGGTTGATTCTCTCGTATATTAGCGAGTGCGATATAGTCCAAGCCCATCGAAGAGTGCGTTGGAGCTCGTCTGACTTGCTTTTGTTGCTATTTAATTACAGATTATGTGACACTACTTCAGCTTTTTTCATTTCCGTAAGGACAGAGGGACGGTTACTGCTTTCTTTTAGTAAGATAATTGGCAACCATTTCATTTTCAGAGCAAACCGGAAACAAGGATCTCTTTAACGCACTTTTCGATTGAATGTCGTAACACCAAAACCAGGTAGTATCGTCAGCCAATGAGAAGAAGGGAAGGCACCCCAAAGAGCCAATAAGAGCGCAGATTAAAAACGAGCATCCTCGACCATTGGAGATTACGTACTTGTATCTAATATACTGAATTTCGTGTCATATAATTGTGTAGAAAAGACAACGTACGGAAGGTCTACCGATTGAACATGGATGGAATTTATGTGTACGTGTAACGATTAGTGCGCATTTTTGACGACGTAAAATTGCACTAGATTCCAAAATTGTATAATTTTTGTTGGATAGTAACACATGATGGGTTTTTGTGCACACTGTTACCGAGATACAACAGAGTGAAGAAGTTTTGTGACACTGCTCTTTGCGCCTGTATTTCAAAGATTTGATGCTATACAATGCTAGATTGTGACGATATGAAACCAGGAGAAATTTCGCGCTGTACGCGGCCGGCTAAAATTAATTCCTTTGCGCATGCCAGACGTTTGACCGCTGTTTTCAGTTACTGTTCACCGACAATAATCTCTTTGAGGACTTTCATGACCCAGACGATGAAACTAAACGATCGAACAAATTAAAGTGTTGTACACAAATCAGTAACTGTGACACGTAGCGGTGCATTGTGAAGTCTCTTATGTACTTGTTAAGATAACCGTCAACACACTACCAAGACAAGCTTATTTTACGGATTAATTACATTTTGAGCCTCACTCCCAGAACTCCGCACGGCGTGTTCACCGCCTTTTTTTTCCTTAACGGTGCGATAAGATCGATTTTTCTTTTCACTTATTTTTCTTTAACTCGTGGCAGACCTAGCCGAAAAGGAGGGAGTTTTCATTCTATCAGGTAAATACAAAGAAACGATTGTCTGACGGTAAAATGGATTGTGCTGCTTATAACATTGTTTCAAAATTTTACTTATTCCTTTGGTTACCTGGTTAAAAACGATTACAATATAGCCAATAAATTGGTGAAATTAAATTCAGATGTGCATGCGTGTTTCATATTACAATCGTGCTCACAGATAACGCGTGTATACGAGCGGAAACGTCTGTACGAGCGAACTGATGGAATCTCTCTTTCTACAACAGTAAATACCAGGTTGAAAATGTACCAAAACAATCATCTATTACACGCGCCAAATCGCGTTGAGCGAGATATGAAGCAATTGGGAAGATTAGAGGGGACTCAAGAAACATTGCTCTCAGTATGTCTCGAGCAACTCTCCTTAGTCCTCTTCAAAATCCCCGCTGCTTCCATCTCCTACCTACGCATCAATTAATAAATAGTGCATTTCAAACCTCATGCAAAGTCAACTGCCCAAAACTCATGACAAAATTTAACTTGGTCTTCGCTAAATGCAACATGCTGCTCTTGACCTTTGAGCAGACTTTCACGGATGGTGCTGTATGACTGGGGTGGGGTGGGGTGGGGCAGAAACAGTGAGAAAAATTATTTTCTATCCGAGGCTCATTTGCTTTGCTGCCTTGGTTTGCAGCCCCTGTGGGAGCTTCTTATTGACTATTTTGAGCTCAATCAGATTGAGAGAGCACGCAAAAGGCAAAAGGCTCATGGTATGCCTTCGTCAGTCTAAAGGCAGAACACTGTCCCTGTCACCGTCTACATTTATCACAACATCTGCTATATTCAGTTCATCACTTATACTGTCGTCTTGTTGTTGTCGTGTTTCATTTCCATTTGCTGCAGGTTCTTCCTCTCCTCCTACAATTTCCTCTTCTTCTTCTGTTTCCCAGCCATCCTCGTTATCTGCAGCTGGGTCACCTATGGCAGGTCTGGGTACCACAGGGACACCCTCCTCACCCTCTCTGCTCGTGTTGTAGGAACCACACTCCATGCACTTCAAGCCGAGAACATGAAATTTTACTTTACTTTTCTATTGGAAAAAAAAAGTTTCGTGACATTCACATGCACTCAACATTTCCCTACAACCACTTAGAAGTGATATTTACAGTCTCTCGGCAGTGTGATTTAGTCATAAATTGCAACATCTTTTAGTTAATGTGTTTTAATTTTCTAAGTGCAAATTATGCCAGGTAATCTGCTTACCTTGTTACAATCGCGACAGAGAACCTGCAATGGACCAAAACGGAGGTAAAAATATTGCATTTCCAACTGCACTGTTGGTCATTAGAATTTTATGTATTCCTGAATTAGTTAGTCAGCTTGATATAAAATGGGTGATAAAGTCGACCCTGAATTATCTGGATTTTTCCGTTGTCCAGACTTGCTTCACTAGTCCCTATCAAATTCAAGATCTGTGACTCCTTTTTTAAAATTTTCATTGCCCAAAAGATCAATTACGTTGTGGTAAAACATTGTTGACTACCTTAATCCTTCCCCCCTAACATCAGTATGCATATTCTCCATACTGTTCTCAATACATTTCCAAAAAGGCTGACAAGGAGAATTTGTGTAACAGTCAAGAGCTGCTTTAGTTGGTGATCATCCCCTCTATTCTCATGACTTTCATGTTTGATTCAGGGAGGATATAGTAAGGAGAAATTAGATGCTAGTCACTCTTAGGGGCTAAAGGGTTGATACCTCTTTGTAAATACTTTCAGCAAAATTCTATGTTAACAGTTGATAGACAAAAATTTGAGAACATGCTTTAATTCTTGCATGATATTAATTAAATGATCTAATTTCTTTTCAGTTGATCAGTTTTATTTTTTGGCTCATAAATATTTATATTTTGACTATCCAGACTCTCAGTTATCCACACTATTCTGTCCAGTCCCCAAGGATTCCAGATAATCAAGGTTCAACTATGTAATGTTCCAAACCCATGCAAAACTCTATGGACAAAAACTCCTCTATTTGTACCATAGTTATATTCCTCAGCGATTTTGTCCAACATTTATGAAGAACCTACAATGTACATACTGTACTTAACCCATTACTTAATGAGGGATTCAGGAGAGATATTGTGAGGAGAAATTAGATGGTAATCACTCTTACACCTCTTAATGACTGTTAGATCACCACTGGCAAGTTTTTTAGTAGGACCAGCATTTAGATCTAAAATAAATGTCTCGACTCCCAGAAGTGACTAACATGAAACTTCTCGTGATAATATCCATACTTTATCCACCAAACAGGAAATGAGAATATTCAAACTTATCAGGTACATGTAGAAGTTATTATCTTGATTTAAGACCAACTTCTCATAACTAATTGATAAGGAAATGTGTAGCAGCTTAAGGGAAGAACTACATGTAACAATCAGAACTGGCGGCTTAAATAGTTAGAAAGCAGGCAGTAGATTAACATAAGCATCTTACCAGTACATAGAACTCCCTATACTCCTCTGGCATGGGTGTCTGAGATATCTCAAGATCTAGTGTGCGCCACATGCGGGTCATATTAATAAGGGACTTGTTACATATTGGGCAAGCATACCCCCTAAATACAGAATAAAAGTTGTTTATTACTATGGTACAAAAACAAGGTTATATTAAGTAGAACTAAAACAAATACAAAATTGAATTGTGAAAAGATCCCAGTGCTTCAGTTGTACTGTAATACATATATCAAATCCTCCATACAAACATTATGAGAATTGTTTGTCCGGCAGTAGGAAAAGTTACAGCATAGGTCTTAGAAGTGAAAGGGTTAAATTGCCTTGCGATTAATTAACTGGGTAAGTTTTTGAAGAAACTGTCACTGGCATTGCATCTGTGGGAAGTATTCTATGTCAAGATAATATTTGCTGTTATCAACTGAGTTGAAAATGAAAATTAGCCCTTATAGAAAGTTCCTGAAGCTGACATTTTGAACGTCACAGCTGTACCACTTCATTAGAGGATTTAGTACAGCAATCTCCAGGATTCTATTTGTGTAACCACAACAGAGTGTTGGCGAGAGATTTCCATTAATGAAGTGCTATCTCTGCTTCTTTGTCTCATTCTGTCTTGTTTTACCCCAGGAAGGACAAAGACAAAACAGAACAAAAAAATGACATACCCTGACTCCAGCAACTTGGTGAAGCAAGAGCTGCAAAGTAACAATTTTCACTGTTAATGACTGACACTTTCTGAAAGCACATTTAAGATTGGTATACAAATAGAGAAATTGTATGCTATAAATATACATTTACCATAACCTCTACAATTTCCTCAAATATGATTGGTGCATTCGCTGATTTATTTTTCACCAATCATTCTGTACAGTTGTATGTTGAACAGTGTAAAGGCTGATGCCTATGATGCGATCACCTAAATGTCTTGGAGAAATAAGTTTTAGTTACCTCAGTTTGTTGATTGTGCATGTACATTCATTATGGCAACAAACAAAAATTTGAATGTGAAGGAGAATCATACCTGTGAAGTAGATGCCCGCATGAAGGTACATGTGCTGGTATTCTTGAGGTGTGAATATCCTAATAATAGTGAGATCAATTAACTATGACATTACTATCTTTTAGATGACTAAATAGGTCAAGTTATGTAACCCTTTCACTCCCAAGATTGTATTTAGAAATTCTCTTAACTGCCTGCTATACAATGATCATGATGTCAGTTCCGAGAATTTGGTATTGGATAAACTAATAATACCCTACCTGATATTTTTCTTTATTCTTATAACTTGTCTACTTGATCTTGTATTGATACTGTGGGGAGAAATTCTGTCCTGGTCACTCATGGGAGTGAAAGAGTTAACCCTTTAACTCCCATGAGTGACCAAGACAGAATTTCTCCTTACAATATCAATACAATATCAATTAGATATTAGTGAGAAGAATAAAGACAAGTATCAATTTGGGGATAATTATTTGATCAAATACTAAATTCTCTGAACTTGAGAATTACAAGTTTGATCTGAGAGTTAAAGGGTCAACTGAGTTGATATTGTAAATTGGCCACTGTAACACATTTCTGAAGCTAATGTTTCAAGCACCAGCCCTATGTACTAATGTACATGTAGCTATTATGAACAAGCATCTTTCACCAGAACATCTTTTTGTCAGTCTAGTGTCTTTTGCTCTGGCGCAGGGCTAAGGCTTGAAATGTTAGCTACAGTTTAAACAGCCTGGCAGTGCATAACAAGCATACTTTCTGCTCAGCAATTTAACTATAAACACTCTGATCAAGTGTTTAAGCCAACTTATTATAAAGTTAGCAGTGCCTGTGGGCAAGATGGAGCAGCTCTCGTGGTCTGATTGGCAATCTTGAGCAGATAAGATGGGCCCTACTTGCCTTAACTTAGGATCACCAGCATTGACCCCACGCAAGGAAAAAAAATTGTGTGGAACAGTGTACAATGTACAATCATGTAATACTTGTATTGGCTGGGTAAGATTAAAAGCTGGATCAACTAAAAGATTTTACATAGAGGAAGTTGTGAGAATGAAGAACTAGTGAAGGGAGGGATGGTTGGGGAAGAAAACTGACCCCTGTCCATCTCAAGATTTAGTTTAGCACTCACTTGCCAGAAGATGTCACTGCTAAACAAGGTAATTTTTAAAAGATAACTTATACCAAATTCCAAATCACAACATTAATGCTGCTTTGTGTACCTGTGAATAAGTCATTTTTATACAACTTTCTACAACAAAACTTCCCTTTACAACAAAACTTAACCCCTTTAACTCTCAGAAATGTGATAAACATGGGTAATATTTTCCCAATTATTCCATATCAAAACCATATATGCCACTGTCTTCATTCAGTTTTGATTCTATTGTATTTAGCTACGGGATTGCTACATATTTGGCACAGTTCCATAGATTTCCCATAGTATCTGGTATGGGAATGATATGGATCAGCCCCATACCAATACCATATGATCCCTGACCTCTTACTATTTTCAAAAGTAACTTATTTGTGGTTACTTTGAACTCCAACAATTTTTCCTCAAAGTATTTGAGATATCAGGAGCCTTCAGAACATGGAAACAGGAACCACAGTTTTGCATTCTTTGCATATATTTAATACATTAGACAATCAAAAAAATACTTAATATACTCTCCACACAAATTCTATATCCTGTCCTCAATGGATATTACATACTTAACAAACTGTCAACAAAACTAGCAACTATGAAAACAATGAAATCACATCAACTGTGTCCTTTTAATCAAATCACAGCTGTTACTCTTGTCTGGTTCTTGGTGGCCGCCTTGCCTCTACACATTTCATGTTGATTTTTTGGACAATCTGGCTTGGTGTGGGGACATCTTTACTGAACTTGGAGCAAACCTTGCCTGAAGGAAGATTACAAAAATTACATCTGTTTAAAGTTTGCTTTGAATTAGGAATTGGCAGAGTGAAGCATGTTCTCAAACCTGTAACTTACTTATGCATTATCAGTAAATTAAGATGCCTGGGTCCACATTTGTATTGTGTTTTCATTTAAAAACTTGGATTTTTGATGCATTAAGAAAGAAAAGAAAGAGACTATAAAGCCAAAAGGTGAAAGGTAGGAGCCAAACTTGTGAAATATTGAGTGCTACAGCAAAAAAGGTTCCTAGTCTAGAGCCATTTCTTGAGCTCCCCATTCAACTGGATTCACGTTAGGCAATGGCCTTACACTGATTTAGCACCTTGGCATCATAAAACTGGCCATTTGGAAGCCAAAGGGCGCTTACAATATCACCAGCTTGAATTTCCTCTTCTTCATCGGGAAAGATGTGCCGAATATCGTCTTCACCTAACACCCTTAAGTTGCCATCATCCTCGTAGTCTACAAGGTACCAAGTCTCTGTGAAATAGATGTTTACATGTAATAAGTTTCGATTAAGTTCTTACTATGTAAACTAAAAAAGGTTTTTTGAAAAAATGCAAGCTTATTGATTACTCATCGTCTCTATTTTAGACGAATAATAAAGCCCAAGTGCACGAGGCCAACCTACAACAATACTGCATGCATGTATACTTTCGTATCCACAACTTTCTCACTTCAACTTACCTTCTCTTAAACGTGCTGGAACGCTTCTTTTTCTTGAATTTCGTTCGGCCATTGTTAGTTGTCCTTTGGAACTATTACTTAAAGCACAAAAGGTGAAAACTACAACAAAAATTCTGATCGAAGAGAAAACTTACTCGTTCACGTTGGAATGTAAAATCAAAAAGTGCGCTTTTGCATGACGCTTCGTCACTAGATTGTTATTGGCTGCAAAAGCCCACGTGATCCGGTAGAAAATCGAGGACGCATGCGCTTTAGGTTCTCTTAAGACAGGATCCTGGGAACGAGATCGATGGTTTCAAAACAAACATGGCTGACGATGGTAGGAAACTACGGGGGCGCTATAAAGAATATATGCGTCATCATAATCCGTACAAATTCAAACCAGCACGATTAGCAGCTCGTAGAAGAAGTGGTAGAATTAACCTCCTTAAAGCTGACAAGAATCCTTGTCCAACTATTTGTCAGAGCAGTAACAACGACCAGGAGTTCGACAATCGTGGAATGTGTGACGACTCTTATATCTGTTATTGTGATGTTAACAGTTCTGTATCTAGCGGTGAGCAAATGCAAGACACATTAGGAAAAATATATTCTGAATCAGAGGAGATGCTTGACGTCAGCCTAAGTGGGATCACCAGCATTGACCCCACGTTGACAAGGAAAAAAAAAATGTGTGGAACAGTGTACAATGTACAATCATGTAATACTTGTATTGGCTGGGTAAGATTAAAAGCTGGATCAACTAAAAGATTTTACATAGAGGAAGTTGTGAGAATGAAGAACTAGTGAAGGGAGGGATGGTTGGGGAAGAAAAACTGACCCCTGTCCATCTCAAGATTTAGTTTAGCACTCACTTGCCAGAAGATGTCACTGCTAAACAAGGTAATTTTTAAAAGATAACTTATACCAAATTCCTATATCCACACAGTATTTAGCAAACAGAAAATGAGAATACTCAAACTTATCAGGTAGAAGTTGTTATCTTGATCTAACACCACATTCTTGTAACCAATTTAATGGGAAATGTCTAGCAGGAAGAGGGGAGAATTAACAATCAGATCTTGGGAGATAAAAGGTCAATTATTTCATGTAGCATAACTCTCACCTCATAGCAAATGGGACAATCAGACCGTGAACTCTTTTCAACGCACTGAGACAAGAAAATTTAGAATTCATTTAACAAGAAGCCAAACCAATCATGAGTTTAACCTAATTAACACATGTTATAATAAGGACTCAGTTTTCAAAGTACAATTACATATTTTCTAAAGACTGTCGTATTGGCCAACAAAATCAGTACCTCTAGATTAGTATATTTCAGCAGCAATAAAGGCACACTTTGTTTGCATGTACACCTAAGCTAATCTGGGTACATGTATTTATCAAACAATTGTAAAGAAAAAAAGTTTAAGTTAAATGTATCAATTGTTTATAACCTTGTTTAAATCTGAAAAATAGAACATTTTCATGATCATGGTTTTTTTCTTTGCATATGCAAAATTAATGTTAACCTTTTCAACCCCTTAGTCATTACAAGGAATGAGACTGAGGGTGCTTTAGTCCTAAAGAATGTCACAGTCATAGAACAGTTTATCTCTGATCACAAGGCTGTTTGCTTTAATCTGAACTTATGGACACCAGTAAATGAGAGGAAGACTGTTGTCTCTCGTAAATTAAAGGGATTTGATTTTGGTGCTTTCAATGAGATGACTATATTGACTGGTTTGTCGGATGGATGTGTCTTGCAATGTATTGAGTTGTTGGCCAAGGAGTATGATGAGATGTTGTGCAAGGCTTTGGACAAGCTGGCACCTAAAAAAACTCGCACTATTGTCATTCAACCAAATGCCCCTTGGTATAATGAGGAGATCGCCATTCAGAAGAGGAAGAGGTGAAGGCTCAAACATAAATGGCGTTCAACTGGTCTTGAAATTGATAGGGTGAATTATTTGGAACAGTGCAATGTTGTAAAATGGAATCATGCTCATCCACTTAGAGTATCGTCCCTCTCCATCCTTGTGATGAGAGCTTGGCTGCCTCTCAGTCGGCTAGGAGTCTTGGCGTCATCTTTGACGAGCACATGTCTTTTCATGTACACATGTCTATAGCATCTGTAGATCATCATTTTATCATCTCAGCCTGAACCTATCTAGAATTAGGAAGTATCTCACTTGCTGTTCACGCATTTGTCACATCGAAACTAGACTATTGTAATGCATTATTATATGGTATGCCTAAGTATCAGTTACAAAGACTGGGGCTGTCCTGGTGTACTGGTACAAGGGGGAATTCCTATTATTTCATATCCATACACGCAGTTCATTAATGTTTCATTCCTTTGTGTACCGGTACACAAGGACACAACCCAAAGACTGCAATATGTACAAAACATGGCGGCTAGAGTTGTGTGTCAAATGAGTAAGTTTCAGTATATCACACCTGTTTTGCAGGAGCTTCACTGGCTACCAATCCAATACCATATTATTTTCAAGATTCTGCTTCTAGTATATAAATCACTGAATGGGGCATTGCCTAGCTATTTAGCTAAGAAACTACATTATCACTCTCCTAATAGATCATCTAGGTCTGTTAGTAATGAACTTGCAACCTAGATCGTATACTAAGACCTATGGAGACAGAGCATTCCCTGTTCATGCACCAAGAGAATGGAACTTAACACCCTATGAAATTCAGGAGTCTGACACCATCTCAATTTTTAAAAGAACAATTGAGATGTTTCTGTTTAGTAAATATATTTAATAACAGACCATTATTTTTATAGATTTATATAATTATATTGCTTTACATTTCATTTCCTTTTTTTAATCATGGTGAATTTTAGCTATGTTTAAGTATCATATAATAAGATATGACTGGCTTTAGTTTTGTTTTTCTTTTTTAATCATTATGAATTTTAGCTATGTTTAAGTATGATATAGTAGGATATGGTTGTAAATTTGAAAATTTTTATCAATGATGTATGATTTTGTATGATTGTAAAGTGCCTTGAGCAGAGAATACAAGCGCCATATAAATAAAGTTGTTATTATTATTATTATTATTATTATTAGTATTAATATTATTTTTATAAGCATCTCATTTCTCGCAACTGTACCAGTCCACTGAATCAAACATTACGGCCATGAGAATAAAGGAAATGATCGCAAACTCAAGCAGCTCTACATGTAACTTGATAGTTCAACAAATTCTCACTCTAAGAACCATAGAAAATGTGTAAAGAACAGTTAAGAGAAATTGCATACTGGTGTTCCACGGCAATGGTTTAACAGAGTGCCACAGTTAACTCACCTTATGCGAGTCCTTCAGCTGAATTCCAAGGCACATGTCACATCGATCGCAATGGAAGAAGTTCTCTTTTCCACCAACTCTGCCATATGAAGATTTCTTAAGTCAGTTTGATGTATTACATATCAAAATAAAGATTATGCAGGGATTACTGGTTAATAATACAAGTGCATTGAAAGTTGGGTTTCCGTCCCCTAGCAGCTTCTGATGGCAACCTCAATTGTTTCCAATGGAGATCTAAGCACAATTAACCTTTTAACTCCCAAGATCTCATTAGTAATTCTCCTTACTGTCTGTTTGAAGTTCTTGTGATGTTAGTTTGGAGAATTTGGTATTGGATCAATTTATAATTCCCTAATTGATATTTTTCCTCATTCTCACCACTTGTCAGCATGATATTGTATTGATATTGTAAGGAGAAATCCTGTCTTGGTCACTCATGGGAGTTAAAGGGTTAACTCTTTCACTCCCATGAGTGACCAAGACTGAATCTCTCCCCACAGTATCAATACAATATCAAAGCAGGCAAGTGACAAGAATTAATAGAACTAGAGCAGCTTCTGTTTGTGAACCAGTTCTGGAACATCACATATGTGTAGCTAGCTTACTGGAAGAGGTTGTTTTCAAAAGAGCAGCACCCATTTTTGAACTTGAAGTACTGGTACATCTAAAACAACTTCCAAATGGCTGTGTTACCAGTACTCTTTGGAATCTTAACACATGGTACAAATTAAATTTATAGATAAGCTTTTCAGCGGTGGTGATTGGTACAAAGTTAATTTTTAGATAATTACTTTTCAGTGGTGTGGACTATACTTCTCCTTCAATAACTCACTGCATTGTATCTTTTCCACAATCATATCAAAAACAATTCATTTACTAACAGTGTTAGTATTTGTTAACATAAAAATGACAATACCTGCAAATTCCACAACCACTGCAGTGAAACTGCCCCTTCTCTGTATCATCAAACAAGCGGCAGATCTCACAATAGTATCGTCCAAATTTTATCCCACAGTCTTTACAGTGGGATCTGACCTTTGGTTAGAAAATTAAATCAGTCAGTCTGTCTGTCTCAGAGTTGTATCTGAAGAAATACATTTATATACTATGGTAGTCAATTTATACTCTCCTACTGGCACAGCACTCTAATAAAAGAAACTAACCCTCTATATTCATCTACATTAAAGATTATGTTAAAGATTAGAACTACATAATTTGATTTATAGATCTGCTCAAACAAAGATTTGGTAGCAAAATTTTTCCCTCAATTTTTTTGCAACCTTTCCCACTAATCACCTTTCTCATAGCTGGCAAACTTTGCGGGAAACTGGTGCCTACTGGAACATACCCACAGTCTCATGCGCCTAGTATATACAGTGTAGAGTAATTTTTAACCTGTTACATCTTAAAAATCAGTATGCATATTCTCCATACTGTTCTCTATACATTTCCTGAAGTGCTGACAGGGAGAATTTGTGTATAATCAAGAGCTTTATATGTTGGTGATCATTTCCTTGATTCTTGTGACCTTAGTGTTTGATTTGGGAGTGAGATTGTAAGGAGAAATTAGAAGCTGGTCACTTTTAGGGTTTACAGGGTCAATTTAGTATTGAAAGTAATCCAAGATTACTTTGATTTTGCTTTATTTTGATTGGTCTAGGAATCTTGCACTAAGTCTGATAAATTGAATTATAATGTTATACACCATTAGACATATTGGCAGCTGATTGAAAGGAAATGTACATGACTGCCCTCTCTTTGTTACTCCACCCAATACAGGAATGTATTTTCGGTATCTGGTCACTTCGTTCCATGACCACTTCGTTCCAAACCACTTCGTTCCAAAGAATAGTCACTTTGTTCCAAGTGTAAACTAAGTGTGTAAACTTCTAATCTTACAAAACTAGTAAACGGTATATGCCGTCTGTTGTGACGGCCATTTTGAAACTTGTGAAGTACCTGCCGTGTGCGTGGAATCTGGGACTACCGGAGACAACTATACATATACACGTTGATCATAGCAACCAGACCAAAGTAAACCTTGATTTCATTATTTCAACATCGCTTTACTTTTTTATCAGACTTGAGTAAAGATGAACCTGCTTGTTATTACTAAGTTAACCTTTCTTTACAGTATTTATTAGTTTTAGACTGACGAATATGCGAAATCATGTTTAGATTGAACATAAACGCGAAAAGATGTGAAACCACATGTTGATCATAGCAACCAGAATAGAGAACTTTCATCACAACAACATCTCCATGTGATCACAAAGCGCTTCACTATTTTTCCCTTTTATAAGATATGATCCATCTTTCATCATACTTTATTTTCATCATACGTTACTTTCACTGAAGAAGATGCAATGGAACGAAGTGACCAAAGGATGGAACAAAGTGGTTTGGAACGAAGTGGCCGTAATTTGTATTTTCTCCTACATTGTATGATGCCTATGGTTTTGCAATCTTTAAATCAGAATCACTTTTTTTTATCAAAAAAAACCCCACCATTACCAGAATGAATACAAATATAAACAAATCAGTTTAGTGCCTGAAGTAGTACTAATAAATATTGAAGCTGTAATGTAACACTCAGCATTGCGAGGTTATTTTCTAATTTTTGGTATAAGAGAGGCTGATAAAAGGAGGAAAAAAAAAATCAGGTTACACTTCTCTGTTTCTACACTTCCACAATCCCACATGCAATTGATATTGCACGACAGTTTGGGATAAAAATTGATTTCTGGGGATCACTCTATGCAAAATGGCTACTTTAAATAAAATCTAGTTTAAATCCCAGCTCATTAGTAATTCTACCTCTTGAGAAGAATCACACTGAAGGCACTTGAGAGCTTCTACAGTTTTCCTGTCCAGTTCATGACTCTCCTTATCATTATGACACAACCTGCAGTTGTAGTATTTGTTACAACAAGGGGCCTGTGAAAACAAGCACAATAATAAAGTATTAAATAAATGTAATTTTTATTTCTTTTTAACCCTCTGACTCCCATGATCTAACAACTACTTCTCCTTGCTGTCTGCTATACAGTTCTTGTCATGTTGGTTTGGAGAATTTGGTGTTGGATCAAGATATAATCCCCTAATTGATATTTTTCTGTTTTCTCATCACTTGTCTGCTTGATATTGTATCGATACTATAAGGAGAAATTCTGTCTTGGTCATTCATGGGAGGTAAAGGTTTAATAAACTCAAGATTTTAGAAGTAACAAATAAAGGTAGAGGATTACTGTAATTTCTGTCCATTTACCTGTGCCACAGATTTGCCGCATTGGTCAATTTTTGAAATAACGAGAAAAAAATTTCCACAGATTACCCACACTGGCAGATAACCCGCAACCAAAAACAAAAGAAAATGTCTTGGTCACTTGTGGGAGTGAAAGGGTTAAATGTTTCAAAACAACTGTTGTGTGATGGACAAATAAAACAACAATTTTTAAATTGTTTTCTTCATCATGGCTCACTTAAAATTAAATTTGTCATGCAAACAATAGAAGCTTTTTCTTCAATGCAACATGATACCATAGCAATGCTTGTGCAGACTAGTAGATGTCTGTAACTCTAAAAAGAAATTAGATCCTCCTTTTTAACAGTCAATCAATTAACCCCTTGGAGTGACCATAACTGGCTTTAAATTTCTCCTTACATTGTCAGACTTGCATCAAACATTGAGGTCAGGAGAATAAAGGAAATGATCACCAACTAAAGAACCTCTAAAAAGTTAATCAAATTCTCCTTGTTAGCACTTTTGGAAATGTATAGAGAAAGGTATGGAGAATATGCATACTGATGTTAGGGAATAAAGGGTTAAGGATGTTTCTGAGGAGCTATAGTGTTACCAAGATAAACTTTTGTGTCCAGAAAGGTACCACAACTCGATGAGAAATAACTAGGCCAATTTACAACATTGTTCAAAATGGTAGGTACGTTGAGAACGCGGAACATTTCCCCTTGTATTTGAGTTAACTACTTTTTAATAAAGATTTAAGTGCGAAAATCCCAAGCTGAGTGATGATTGACAAACGTAAAATACCGTGAGAAAACAAACAACAATTGCACTGCAAGAGATTTTTCAACAAGACGACAAGTTCTTCTCTTCCGTGTTTTTCCCATATCATAGATTAGAAATTATGTAGATAATTACTGTAATTGTTGAAATTGTGAGCTTCAGAATAACTTAAATTTTAAAATGACCGTCGCCAATTGCAAATGGCGTTGGATATCCTAGGAACAGTACTCAAAATAACGTTGTGTCAAAGAAATAGATGTTCACTAATGTAAGATCGATGTTTGGTAAACGACACGAAAAAATGATGCAGCAAAATGAAAGTAGTGATATTTACACGTGCTTAGAGCTTGGTACATGAGACAACAATATCAGTTAACTTGGTGACGTGTAGTTTGGTCTAACTGAATATGAAACTAATCAGTGCAAAATTGATTGATAAATTGCAGGGAAGAACAGTGTAAACATGGAAGATTTCAGTTTAATCCTAAGGGGGAGATGATTACTCACCAATAAAGAACAGCGTCTAATGTAGTGATCACAGCCAGAAGACATATCGAAAGATTTTCTGCTTAGACAAAATATTAACAATCGAGCTTACAATCGAACCAGGGAAATCGCCGGAACTGAACTGGAACTAGAATGCCAAAGTAAGACGAGATATTTTTCTCGCTGGGAGAACTGGGAGCCACTAAAGCCCGAGGTGTCGAAAATGGCTGCCTCTGGCAGTCAAACCTTCTCTGCCGGCTCGACTACGAGAGCATTTGCACAAAAGCTAAACAAGTAAGTAACTTTCCTTTGAGTAAAGTTGTATAATTTGTGCATTTTGGTGTGATATGTGTTCATATTTTATTCCAGATTTCGGCGTAATGGATCGGCGACTTTCAGCACTCAATCAAGTACAAGGTCGCAATCGTCCACTTCGAGTTCCTTTATTCATCTTGCGGCCGGAACGGTTAGTTAACTGCTCAAATTATACTATTGATCCTTTCATAATTGAAAGATCACTATAGATTAAGCATCACGATTGTCCATGGAGCTCCCAAATACGGCTTTAACAGGCATCGGATAACGTGCTTGTCATGTGAAGGAAACTATGTACTTCGATCGCGCCAGCTATTTTTAATCCATTTATAGAAATTCCGATGGTGAATTCTGGAAAGTACTGGAGAAAAGAAAAAACAACTTTATTCGGTGTTGGCTAAAATGGTCATGGAGAGCTACATATGAGGCCGCACATCGATCTGTCAAATGTACAATTTCAATTTTTTTTTTAGTAATCAACTGGATGTTTAGTCGAATCGAAGTGATTTGGCAGTATGCATGTAGATCTCCTTGATTTTCGATTTTTATTTAGTGCTGATGCAGTAAGTCAGACTGGTTTCAAAGTTTTTGTGAAATAGACGTAAATGCAACTCAACAACTGATTTAAATCATCATAATTCTTTATAGGAAGTTTGGAGACTAAACTTGCTTAAGTTTCAGCAGAGTGGCTCTAGTAGTATTTCAGTTATCTTCAAGCTTCCAAAATGTATCAGGACCACCCAAGTACATCTTTCATCACTAATGTAGCCTAGTTCAGAAGTCATAAATAAAACTGTACTGTAATTACTTAGGCTTATTTATTTCTCACAAAATGGTTATAACAAACTAGACAGACACCACCCACAGGGGGTGGGGCTACTATTTTTGGCTCCCAGTCCTTAAAGGCTGATACCTTAAATGCTTTGTTAAGCCTCAAAAATCCTATCACTGAGAATTCTCTAACCTAGTAATGCTACTGTCCAATTGTTCTATCCTTTGACTCTTTTAAGTGATTAGCACCAAATTTCTCCCTACAATAGGAATCAAACTTCAACCCTTTACACCCTAACATCAGTATTAATATCCTCCATACTGTTCTCTGTACATTTACTAAGGTGCTGGCAAGGAGAATTTGTTTAACAATCAAGAGTTTCTTTAGTTTGTGATCATTTCCTTATCCTCATTTCCTTGATGTTTGATTCAGAGATGTGAATGTAGGGAGAAATTAGATGCTAGTCACTCTCATAAGAGCACAGTCAAGAAATTTTTAGTATTTGAGTCATAACATCAGTATTCATATTCTCCATACTGTTCTCTGTACATTGACTAAGGTGCTAACAAGGAGAATTTGTCTAACAATCTAGAGTTTCTTTAGTTGGTGATCATGTCCTTTATTCTCATGACCTTAATTTGTGATTCAGTGGTGATATGGTCAGGAGAAATTAGATGCTGATCACTCTTAGAGTTTAAAGGGTTAAAGTAACAAGAATAAAGGAGATGTACCAGTTAGATGTATCAAATAATCCTTGAAGAGATGTTTTTTTATGTGGGATACAGTCCTAAAGATCTTAAAACTAGATTCTGTGTTTCTTTAAGATGGTTTGGTACTAGATAGTAGAAGATATCAGAATGTGGTAAAAACATTGGTGCCTAGTGTGCGCCTTGTATGTGCAGATGCATGTGTGGAAACGTAGAATCTATCAGTTAAATCCAGCAAAAAATGATTGAAAATGTGAAATGTTTCATCACTTCTTGTTATTCCAGACTCCTCTAAATGAAGTTGTGGAACCTCCTGACTTTGAAGATCTTTTGTTGCAAAATCAACCTTTCAATGAAAATGACCCAAAGAGTAAGATGCTCGAGTTCCCTGATGATGACATAGAAGTGACCACAATTCCAAGACAATGTCGCACTGTCAAGCCATGCTTTCCCAAGGACACTGGGTAATGGTATTGTTGTATGAAGTAGGTTAAGTCTGTACTCAAGCTGAGAGGCCTAACCAGTCTGAGCTTCTCCGTCTTTCCTTAACATGAAGCAGTTAATGATGGTAATAGGACTGAGCGGAGTCCAATTCCATCTCTAATCACAAGAATGATTACAGTCAGAATTGGATGACATGAAGTCCTGTTACCAATTAATCAAAACTATAACAATTTGAGAAAGAAATTAGACATTGGAATACAAGATTTCATTAAAAAAAAACAAAAAACAATGGTTAACTTGGCAAAGTGTGAGATAACAGCATGCTCACATGATGCGTTCTGTCCACTTACAATGTCCTACAGTGTAATACACTGTCTAATAGCAAGCATGATGCACACACTGTCCTATTAGTGCTCAAATCAGGCTGGTGATAACCAATCACATTTGAGAATTTTGTTATAGTTTTGATTAGGAGTATTACAGTAACCATTCCCCCCCTAGAGTGGATGCCATTCAAATGTAAGGGTATCCCCTATAATTTCTGTGCCCATTTAAAGTCCTGGATGGAGAGAAGTTCTTTTAGAGTAAACTGTCTGGCCAAAAAACTTAACAAAAATGACCCAGGGGAGGTCTTGAACCTGGATGTCTGGACCAGAAGTCTATGCATCAACGGTAATCTTGGGTAGCCTTCTCCTCACAGATGGGGCCAATATTTGCTACTTTCAAGACATTCTGACCTATGACACCAGATCAATGTCAGTATCTGAGAAACTATGCACCTACCCCTCCCCTGGTTCAACAACAGTCAACTGATAACAAGTTGGGGTTAATGTTGGGTTATGGGAGGGGTAGGTGGGCAATTGCTTGGATACTGACATTAATCCTTGACACCTATAGTGTACATGTACATTGTATTAGCTAGTGTTTGAGCACCTGTTTTGGGATAAATACTTTGATAAATAAAAGTGTAATTATAATGTTGTATTTATCAATTATTGACCAAGATGGAAGTAAATAGCGGTGAATATTTACCTACATGTGATGAGGCAAGGTAAATAAGCACCACTTTCATCGACACTGAGGTGTATAATTGTTTTAGTATATACTACACAGATACCAAAACATTACTTTTAATTATTCTTTCAATACACTGAAAAAGATCGGAAATTAAACTGTTGATGCACAATTTTGTTTCTTTGGCTGCTTGAAAGTGAACATTACTTGCTATACAATTTCCTGATTTAGTATATCAGTGTGTGCGAACAGCATTATTCACTTGTGTGCTATATACTAATCATTATTATAATCAAACAAATGATCTGAAATATATAAAATGAATATTAAAATTCACAATATCTCATTCATACTGTCACTTACAACACAACGTCTCTCTCTTTCCTCTGCAGTGCTGAGAACAATCCACTACTAAAAGACTGCATTCATTGTTACACTTCAGATTGGGCGATAGTTAATCGAAGGTAAGATGTGTGTGCATTCTTTTCTTTGTTTTGAAACAAGTCTTGGTTCAAAATAATTTGAAACTAAGTGTGTGTTGACTTTTACACATACTTCTAGATTTACAAGCTAATATTGAACCCTTTAACTCCCATGAGTGACCAAGACAGAATTTCTCCTTACAATATCAATACAATAGCAACTAGATAAGTGATGAGAATAAAGAAATATATCAATTTGGGGATAATTAGTTGATTCAATACTAAATTCTCTGAACTAACTTTATAAGAATTGTTTGGTTGACAGCAAGGAGACTGACAAATTTGATCTGGGAGTTGGAATAGTGGGGGATATTTACCGAGCTCCAAAGCAGCTCAGTAAATTTTAATCACTCTCAAAGACACTGAGGTGAATAACCATACAGATACCAAAATATTAGTGTATTCGGAAAATTTCAAAAATTAGTTTAAAATGGTTGGAAATTAAACTCTTTTTGTCTCTTTGGCTGCTTGGAGGCTTATAGTACTTGCTATTCACCTTTGAACTTGTCCAGCCAATTGGCACATTTCAGATCAAAACTTGGTGTTCTGTTTAAAACAGGTATCAGTTCCGTTGTTCTGATGAAGGAAGACCAGATTCAAGGCGTAGAATAGCACGAACATCCAGCTTTGTGAGAACACTTCCTACCCAGCTTTATGAAATTGATGAAAAAGGAAAACCTGCAGATCAGGTAATAAAATTTAGTGGTATTTGTTTGCAGAAACTAAAAGAACATGGTGTGAATATCACTGTGTGGAATGTTAGTTTTATCCTGGGAGACAGTTAAATGCAGAGAGCTGTAAATGTTAAATTAATGATCTTCGCTTGTTTCTTTCATATTATAGGGAAAGAATGAAGCACAGCAAAAAGTATCACAGCAATCAGGCAAAGGACAGGATGAGTTACCTCGGGGTAGCTGGGCATCAAGGTTAGTTTGTGTATACTATTTTCATTTGGAGTGTTTTGAATTGAGTCTCAAAGACTAGGAGTGACCTTAAGCAGTCATGACAGCAATGCAAAGGAAACCATCAATCTTTAAAAAAGAATTAATTTAGAATTTTGCGAGTGGTAGATGTGTTTGTCGTCTTTTAATGTGGCACACCTCAACTTCAGCATGACACAGGAGTGCAGTGTTGAATTCCAAATGGAAACTTAACTAATTCACTCTGTAGGTTTCTATTCTCAGACCCCACAAATTTTGATGATTTCATATTCATTTGCTGTTTTGCAGAGGACAGCCTAGAAATGTTTAAGGTTTCAAAAGCCATGGTTCTGTCTATTACATGTAGATCTTTTTTTAACACTTCTTGCCATCATGGTCTTGGTTTGATTGTCAGGTCACCAAAACCAAAGAATCACAAGAGCCAATAAACAAGCTCTATTTTATTTCAAATGATGGCATCCACAGTCAAATTTTTTGTGCATTTGAAAAAGGCTTTTAAACAGCTGGGTTAATAATTAATTTTGGAATCTAAAACCTGGTAAGATGTAAATTTCTGGTTTCACCTTTTATGGCAGGGATATAAACTACATTAGGTTTAGGAGTATAGTATATCACATTTACTTGCATAAGTACCCCTGAGTAAGTCCCTCCCCCCCTTCAAATGAGCAGAGCATTTGGAACAGAAAAGTTAATATGTGCTACCCCCTGATAAGTGCTGAGGTCCTTCAGAAGCTGCTACATGTATGCTTCATACTTGGTTATATTTCTTGAGAGATTTGGATGCAACTCTTTTCAAATGCACAAACTTAATTACAAAGAAGGGTAGTCCCCTAAGCTAGAGCTTTTGGACATCAGATCAGGAAGGGTCAATGTGAAGGAGGTTGATTGAAGACTCTGCTGGAAATGGAATCGAGAAGTGACAGACAAGCAAATGGTGACAATCAAAATTGAAGACCCTTCTGTATGTTATACAATTTTTGCACCCTGAGAAAATATACCGTTGAATTAAAAAGAACATTTTTTCATTGCATTCAACTTTTGTTGGCCATCCTTATATAAGTTCTGCCCTTGAATAAGCTCTACTCTTGAGGTACAAACAGTTGAATAGAGCTGTAAGAGCTGTTAGGTGGTACTTATTTTATGAGTAAATATGGTTCATCTCTTTTGTCAGACCAACATACTTCTTCTTAAAGAGTAGGGTATGAGGCTCTTAGTTTTTTTGGTCTGGTCTCAATCTGTGCCACATTTTAAATTGCATAATATTGACCAACAGCAAAACATACTAACAAAATGACTTGAAAAATTGTATAATTGTGGTTTTTTTTTTACAGCATATTTGACTTGCAGATGAGTAATCCTGATCCACTTCTGCCTTCTCTTCTTGAACGCACTCCAGCTGATGAGTTGGACTTGGCTAATCAAGAAGACCGTCAACTTCACAGGATGCACTCCTTATTTTCTATTTATCCTATTCAGCAGGTATCAAGAGAAAATATGATCATTGCTTCTAATAGTCATTGGCTTAGTTGTAAAAGGGAGAATATTAAGGAAACTGACAATGTTCATTGTAGAGGCCAACTTAGAGCCTTAGAAACAGAAAAAATTCTGGTTCCTCATGGGGTCTCAGAATTTTTTTCTATGTCCCGTGCTTATGATAAGATGAAAAACATCTTTATATCTTTACTGAGCTCAAAATTATCCTCTATTTTATTCTATTTATAGATGAAAAATATGTTTAATTAAGAAAGAGATTTATAAATGTATTCAGTGTATGATACAAACATACTTGGCGTAAAAGAACTGATACAGAATGCACTTTCTTTAAGTTTACACATGGGATCTTCAATTTTGGCTTATGCTCTCCTAACATCTCCCATAGGTGATACATGTACATGTAAGACAGTGAAACTAGTAGAAAGTGCTTCTTATTGTGTGTTAAAACTGCTCACAACAGTCCCTAATCCAAATTGAGAATTGTGATTTGCTTTTTTTTCAAAAAACACGAAGTTCATTTTCAATAATAATAAAAATAAACAAAGGAGAAAATTATGAGTTTCTTGCAATAACCTTTCAGGATATTTAGTAGTGAAACCATTCTTGGTAAATTTTGCTTATTTCATGAATGTCACTCAAAAACGGCAGTAGCTTACCCAGAAATAAAATGCTCAAGTACTGTATATCCTTGGTATTATTTTTCAAATGATAATCAAAAATGCTCAATTTTTCAGTATAAAGATAATTATCTGTTGTCACTTGGAAAGTTTTTCTGCAGGCTCAACCACAACTGTTTAACATTAATTTTTAGCTCTCTGTTTGTCAATTTTGGTTAATTGTTTCTCGGTTTAAGCTATCTGTTTTTGGACTTTGGTCAACTTTTAAAATTTTTTGCTCTCCGTTTAAGTGGTTATGGAAACTGTTTAAATGCTTGAGTTAGCCATTTAGTATCCATTTAAAACTGTTTTTTAGACTGTTTAACAGAAAAGTATTAGTGTCCATTTTCCCATGGAGAGGTACATTTTATTTGGCTCATTATTGAAAAATTCCTTTTTCACCCATTAAAGGTTTTTTTTTTTGTAATACTTGCTACTTTACCCTGTTTTTAATTTCTTTTTTTACTTAGGAAGAAGGAATAGAAAAGAGGATTCCTGCCACCATCCCTCAAGAGCATTTTGGACAAAGAATTCTGATTAAATGTCTTCAACTAAAGTAAGTGTATAGAAGCCATACTAAAGTATAACTTTGCACTCAACTCTTTAAGGGCTTTACAATTATTGTGAATTTTATTCCAGAAAGTCTCAGGAATTGAATTAAAATATCATTGCACTTTTGTTAAAGATTTGAAACAGATGACTTCCTTTGTATTTTTGTTTAATCTTTTGCCAAGCAACACTTTTTTTTCTGAAGCCATTTTGAAGTGATATTAGCAATTTTTAGATTTTGATAAATTTGTTATGCCGCATTGATATTTTTTTATTGGCTGGTCAGCTTGAAAAAAAAAACAATCAGCTTTGAAATAGGAGGTTATATTTGAAACTTTTTTATTTTTCAGGCTTGATTTAGAAGTGGAGCCAATATTTGCATCAATGGCTCTCTATGATGGAAGAGTCAAGAAAAAGGTGTGGTTCTTACTTAGAGTAGTAATTATAAGATTTATTATTTGAATCTTGGGGAAGATTTTAGATTTCAAGTACTTGGAAAAGACTAAAGATGACAGATGGTGAAATTTAACCCCTTCTTGCCTCGGAGGGGGGGGGGGGAATCCTGATTCTGTCATGGTCTAGAAACTGGGGTAGGGTGTAAGTTTCAATATTTAGGTCACTTTACCCTTTTCATGTCAGGCTTGAGTCTGGAATTAGGCCAAGTGACCTTTCTAGCTGGACCTTATCTCTGTCGGTTTCTGTCGTATGGAACAACTGGGAGTTTTCCTACTTCCTCTGGATGGGATGCATTGGTCTATCCCAAGTTACCCCAAGGCATTAACTTTTGTCAGCTTTGCCTGACAGCTTATTGGTACCCATTTATACTCACTGATACCCTTGCATACTCTGGTTGGAGAGAGACGTCACGATAGTAAAGTGTCTTGTTCAAGAACAAAGACCCAGCTAAGTATGAAGCCCATGCAGAGTCCAGTACACCATCTGTTGTGCCTCTTTGTCTCAACATGCCTTTCCTCTTAACAGTATGAAAAATAGTTTAACTTTTGTTTATTTTACTACATGTAGATCATTCATGACTGAAACAAGCTTTCTAACCATATACAACCCTTTGTTGTTGCTTTCTAACCATATACAACCCTTTGTTTATTTTTGACAGATTTCTGAGAATTTTTACTTTGACATGAACAGTGAATGGTGCAAGAAGCTAGTGGAGGAGCAGAACCCTCGTGTGGATATTTCCACTCTCAGTCGTTCAGCAGTATTTTCCATTACCTACCCCTCCACTGATGTGTTCCTTGTCATCAAGCTTGAAAAAGTTCTACAACAGGGTGACATTAGTGAATGTGCAGAGCCGTATATGAAGGACACAGAAAATCCTAAGGTCAGTTTTGGCAAGCTGATCAAGACAGAATTTCTCCTTACAATATCAATACAATATCAAGCAGACAAGTGATGGGAATAAAGAAATATATCAGTGAAGGGACTATAAGTAGATCCAATACTAAATTCTTTAAACTAACATCTTAAGAACTGTATGGCAGACAGTAAGGAGAATTACTAATGAGATCTTGGGTGTTAAAGGGTTAACAGCAATTTACAGCCTATTGTTGAAAGTTAATTTAGGATTACATTTTGTCTTGTTTTTACATGGTTTTGGAAAACCGGTGATGTCCAGGTTGCAATGCATACATGTATGTCTTCTTAATCAAGGTCAGGGTCTGGGAGTCCAATTTATTTCCCACTCTGGAAACTGTGAATAAGAAGAGTCACCTCGCAGAGTGTCTCCTGCTAAATTCCCATTCCCATTCTCATCCTCCCTGTTTGGTATTGAAAAATGTGGTTTGAGTTATAGAGGGTAAAAATTGCATAAGAAATGATCGGAAGGGAAATGAAAACTATTGTGAGCTTTCAGCGTGAGGTTGGAGATTGCAAGGTTTCTCTGAGTTAGCAGGAATTTACTTTGTTTTAAATCAGACCAGACTTGTTCATGTGTGCTCTCCTGCATTTGAGACCAGTTTATTAAATGTATTTCCAACAAAAAATAATTTTGTTCCCTCTCAAGATTTTCCATTTTTTTTTTTTCAAACCAAGCATAGAGAAAAAATGCAATCAGCTGCTGTGTTAAACTGTGAGGGGCTTGGCAACTATTGCATGCCTTTTGCATCTTTCTCTGATAGTCTTCCATTTTTCCATATTTTTTTCAAATCCAGCATAAAGACAAAATGCGAACAGCTGCTGTGTTAAACTGTGAGAGGCTTGGCAAGTATCGCATGCCTTTTGCGTGGACTGCAATCCATCTTATAGACATCATAAGTGGAAACAAAGATGGCATTGATCCATTGGCAGCAACACCAACACCTGCATCACAAGAAAAAGACACTTCTTCGGCTGGGACTTCTGTGCGCAGGGTAATTAATGTCATAAAGAAAAAAAATAACTTGACTGGTTTTCTCAGAAATGTTAGTCTAATATATACAACTTCCTATGAACAAGTGATTTCTTAATGTACATGAAAGAATTAAAAGCTTCTGATCGGCTGAAAACAAGTGCATTTTTCGTGTAACACAAGTGCAAAGTTACAACACAGGTGGAAATTACAAATAGTGTGTGTGCACTGTCGAAATATTGTCTGTCTTGACTTTTTGTGATACTTCATTTATTTAAATTATTAATAATTTTTTTAAATAAGTAATAACTTGATTTTGTGTGCAATTTGGAGTAAATAAGCACTTGTAAATTTTTTAAAGACTACAAATTACCCTCGTTCTTTGTTTGTCTTTGAAAAATTTAAGTGCTCTGGAGCTCATGTTGTTACATTCATTGATATTCTGCAATTGGACAATGTAGGTAAAACAAAATCCATGATCACGGTAAAAAAATTTAATGAATAAAAAACAAAGATGGCATGAACTTTGTTTGTTAGTGGGGAAAAAATCTTGAAATCTGTTTCCAAAAGTGTGGCTTAACTCTGTAAAAAGTTCTCTCAGTGAGTGATTCATTTTCTTTTGGCAGCAGCTATCTGGAATGGCAGAAACACCACCTGTTGTGCCAAGAGGCAGCCGACGGAAGGACAGTGAAAGTGCCTCCAGCAGAAGTTCAGTGATTGAGGCGCGCAAGTCGATACATCTGGCAGATATCGGTGAATTTGAAGTTACTCCTGACTTGACAAACTTCAGGCCTGTTACACTTACTGTCAGTAGCTTTTTTAAACAGGTAACTGTAGCAACTAATTTTTAACACTATACAAGTGTACACCCTACCATCAGTATGCATATTCTCCATACTGTTTCCAATATGTTTCCCAAGGTGCTGACAAGGAGAACTTGTTTAAGCACAAAGAGCATCTTTAGTTGGTGATCATTTTCTTTATTCTCGTTACCTTAATGTTTGATTCAGGGGTGATATTGTAAGGAGAAATTAGATCCTAGTCTTCCAGAGGTTGAAGGGTTAAAATAATAGCTCTCGTGCTGTTTTTCAAATTGTCCGTCAAGTTGTGTTGAAAAGGAAAAGATTACCTGGCAATTTATAATTTACTTCATGGCTTCTTTTCACTTAGTTTTGGGGAAGAATATGTCAGTGTTTTGAATTGAAATGTCAGAGCTGTCAGAAAGAGCCAGTAGCTGGTCAAATTGGCTAGCAGGATGGCCATCTTTAGCCGGCCACTTTGGCCTCATTTTATTATAAGTACTTTTGAAAACTTGTACAATTATTTCATTTCAAAATACCATGGAAAAAAAAATTGTGCAGCAGCCATTCCCGAGGTTTAAATGGGATTTAAATCACAGTTTACTGGTAACAGGTTCAAGTTAGTGAATCAATTCTATTTATTCAGAATTTGATAAAAGGTTTGTGCAAAAATTCTAAGGATGTATGTGTGGGACATTTTAGGGAAATAGTTTCCAGTCTAATCTGCATAATAGGATAAAATTACAAGGCATTCTTTTGTGATACTTAACATAACTATGACAGTTTTAGGAATTATGTTTTTAAATGATTTGGGAATATTATGTTTTGATCTTGATCAGGAATCTGATAAACTAAAAGATGATGACTTGTATAAATTCTTGGCTGACCTCAAGAGACCCTCTTCAGTATTAAAGCGTCTGAAGTGCATACCAGGTAATGCTGTTGAAGTGATGTGGCTTTCTATACTCGTAGGGGTTTCAGAAAAAAGCCAGTGTCAGTACTTGCAGTCTACTGCTGCCTACAAGGTCTCTAATAATGTGAATGTCTTTGGATCTTTTGAAATGTCTTTGGAACTTTTCAGGCATCTCTGGATATGATGGGGTCTTTGATGCTCTGATTTAAAGATATTTTGCAGGTATATTAAAGGTGGCTGACAATTTTATTTTTATTTTTTCTCCAAAGGAACCTTGAAGCTTGACATCTCCCCACCTGGAGACAAACCACCATACTGCTTAACTTCTGAGTTACATCAGGTATTGTTATACTTGTACACTGATTTAACTCCCAAGATCTGATTGTTGATTCTCCCTTCTAGCTGCTACACATTTCCATACAAATTAGTGATGAGAAGTTGATGTTAGATTAAGATAACAACTTTACCTGATAAGTTTGAGTATTCTCATTACTTTTTTACTGTGCAAGGTAAGGATATTAAAGGGAGAAGTTACATATTAATCACTGTTGTGTATTAAAGCATTAAAAGTACAGGATCTCATTGGTTACTTCAGGGTCATATGTGTCCCAACAATAAAACTGTTTCTGGTCAAAAGTTCACGAGTAGGCAAAGTTGTAAATATATGACATCAGAGGGTAACAAAACTGTCACACCCAAATGTTAACTGATGATCACAATTAGGTTTGAAAAGAGTTGGATTGGAGGTGGCTTGATAGTTGGCTTGGCCCTGGCAAACATTGAGATTTTTGGGAAGCAGAGTCAACTGTTTCCTGTCTAAATTCTTCTGTTTGAGCTCAGAGATTTGCTAACCTTGTTTTTTTGGTCTGTACTGTCCTAGCCTGAGTAAGTTATTGAACCTTGTTTTTTTCTGCCTGCATGGATTTATGGCCTGTGTATTTTGTGCTTGGTCGATAAATCTGAATGGAAAAAAAATTGGTCTATGACTAACAGTATGGACCCCAAACTAAGCTAGTAAGAGGGTTGTATTTATTCAGTCTTGTTAGAACACCAAATTCTCTTGTTTTTCAGGTACATCCATATCCAGATGGGAAAGCAAGACCAACCAAAGAGATAGAGGAGTTTGCACCTAAAGAAGTGTTTGCACCATATCTTACATTCAAGTAAGATGAATGTAGTTCTTTGTAACCAGCTGTTTTGATTAATGAGGCAGATCGCATCATTAACTTTGTCAAGTCTTACTCAATGTACAACGGTTTGTGTTTTTTCAGGAACCTAATGTATGTATACCCTTTGAGTGTCAATTACACCAGTCGCAGCACATCTGCCAGGAATATCGCAGTCAGAGTACAATTCATGGATGGTGAAGACTTTGATGCTTCTGCACTAGAGGTAAATAAATTTGCTACTGATTCAGAAGCAAATATGTCTGTTAATCTAATAATTATGCTTTGTGGACAATGAAGTTCTTTTGATTTTTTGGCTCCTTGGTTTTCCATTACATTAATTGTTAAATTCCTGGATCCTCAACCCTGACAAAGAGAACTTGTTTGATGATCAAGTGCTTCTTAAATTGGTGATCAATTTCTTTATTCTCATGACCTTTACATATGGTTCAAAGGTGATACTGTCAAGAGAAATTAGAAGCCAGTCACTCTTATGGGTTAAAGGGTTAAAAGATGCCAGTACATTTACAGCCCTTTCCCATTTCTGATTCCTTCAGCTTCATGAATGAGTCAATTAGCATTAGTAATAATTATTGAAATTCAGTACTATGCCAGGATGCATTTAGCCTGGAGTGCAGGCATCTCATTAGGGTGAGCTAGCGTCATAAGCTTGTGATCATTTATCTGACTGGCCATGTTTGATTTGGAGTTAGAGTGGACAGTTAGGGGTAGGGGTGGGGGAAGGGGGCTGGGGAAGGGCAAGAATCTTCACACCCCCACCCCTCTCCTTGTTTTTGACCTTGGTACAAATTTCTTTCTCTGTTCAGTCCAGCCTTCTGGTGCCATTGAAATAAAAAATAGGGGCCATAATTTTCTTTAAGAAAATACCAAGCTCTTGCTTGCCAAAGTTATGCCAGCTCTGCAAGCTAGGATGCCTTCTCCTGCACTCGCTGCAGGCAGATTTGCACATCAAGGATTGGTCTTCATGCGCATATGAGGTGCACTTAAACACCATCCAGTGACCTGTCCTGTCCTCTCATTTATGTCTAGAGACAGGAGATGCCATCATTCTATGAATACCCTTTGTCCTTGAAATTAGCCAAACAGTTACTTTAGTTGTTCCTTTTATTTTTTTCTAGTGTGTGTTTGGCAAGTCAAGTGGTGCTGCTATGCAGAAAGATGCTTGGTCACCAGTAACTTACCACAATAAGTGAGTCACTGCTTAACTTGTGTGTCACAACATAACTTGCTTTTTGTTGAACTTATATTTTCTCAAAAATTCAATCATTCTACCTAAAGATTGCTTCAATTTTACTTCTGAATCTATTCAATGTACTAAACATTTTAGCCAATATCTTTTTACCCTGGAAGTTTGAAAAATTGGGATTTCCACATTGGTGGTATTTTAGGGAAACTATTCTTCTACACATACTGATACTTTTTCACACAGAGAAATCAGGTCAGCCATTTTATGTCACTAAAAATAAACAACTGAGATGCAATGGGCAAGTTTCCAAGAAATAAGATTGGCAAGCATTCAATTTACAAATAATTCAATGGTATAAATATGTTACTGGTTGATTTGTTGATATGTCAACGAAAAATCAGCAGTTGAAAGGTGGTCAAGACTTTTTTTATGCATTAAATACACTGAAAATAATTTTCTGTTTGTTGATCGAAGGTGCCCGGACTTCTATGAAGAAGTGAAGATCAAATTACCAGCAAATCTCACAGATCAACATCACCTGCTGTTCACATTTTATCACATCAGCTGTTCAACTGGGAAGAAGCTTGAAGAGAAGGGACCAGTTGAAACACCCATAGGATATACAGTATGAAAAGTGCTTTGTAATTTTATTATCTTTTCTACAGGTTTTGTCTTCATTTGACATCCGTTTCAATCTCTGGGCCTCTTCGTTTTCTATTTAATCAATCCTTTAACTTCCAAGATCTGATTGTTAATTCTCCCCTCTAACTGCTACACATTTTCTTGTAAATTATTTGTGAGAATTTGGTGGTATATCAATATTACAATTTCTGCCTGATGAGTTTTAGTATTCTCATCACCTGTTTGCCAGATAATGTATGGATATTATGGGGAGAAGTTACATGCTAATCACTTCTGGGATTTAAAGGGTTGAATCATGTCCTCTGCATAAGCATTAGTGTTGTCTTGGCACTTGGTAGATAAGTTTTAGATTAGAAGAGTTTTTCATTTTGAACAAACTGAAATTTTTCACAGTAATTTTCTTCTAATGGCACAAATGGCTTAATCAAAAAACTCAGTAGGAAATAAATAATTTCTTTCATGAGTTAACCTTAGGATTTTTCCTTTCAGTGGATCCCTGCAATAAAGGAAGGCCGTCTAAATCTGGGCGAATTCCATCTTCCTGTTTCTTTGGAAAAGCCACCTACAAGTTACAGTGTGTTGTCACCAGAAGTGAGTTCTGTGGTTTTAAACAATGCATACGAGCTTGCCGTGATAATTATAATTTAATAAACAATGTACTAGTGCAATCGTCAATTGAAGGTCGAAATTGAATCGGGATTGCGTTGGTTTTGCTTTATTGCGCACTGTGATTGGTCCTGAAACCTTGCGCCATCCCCTCAACCAATCAGATGCAAAGTTAAAAGCAAGCACAACTTGGTCGCTCGCGTTTTCCCGCGCTTTTGGCAGTTGGGTTTTTATTTTTAGTTCACATTGGCCCGATAGGCATTTTTCTTTGTTTTGATTAGCCGTTGCGAATGCTTTTTACACCACTCAATTGAGAAGCGCTCTTTTAGCTTCGTGCACTAATTTGTGTGTTTATTTTTGCTATTTGAAGGTGCAACTTCCCGGTATAAAATGGTTAGAGAGCCATAAGGGTGTATTTCATGTTGCCGTCAGGGCTGTCTCTTCCATTTACACACAGGTAATTTTTATAACTTTTACTTAAGTTATTATGGACCAGTGTTAATATCTGAGCAACTTTGTACCTACCCCTTCCCCGGTAACAAGTTGTGGTTAGTGTTGGGTTAGGGGAGGAGTAGGTGTGCAGTTTCTCTGACACTGACAGTGATTGATCAAAATGAATGCTGTATTTTTCTTGCTGTGCAGTATTTCATTTCCATGTTTATTCTTTTTTCAGGATATTCCCATTCATAAATTTCTAAAGATCTGTCACCAGATCGAAGGACGTGTTGCATCATCACCAACTCGTACCTCAGAGGGAAACCTGGAATCTGTTTTGCGAAAAAGCATAGTTGACTTGTCCAAGGCAAGAGAAGAACCTCTCGTGAGGTTCTTGTACCTGATTCTGGATAAGCTTATTTTGCTGCTTGTCAGACCACCAATAATTTCAGGGACTGTAGGTAAAGAGAATTTAGAATATCCATCCATTGAGGCACATTGCGATTAAGTATGGTTAAACAAAACCTAAGTTATTACAATGGCTAATTAGAGCAGCAATTTCACAACGCGCTTAGGTATCTCTTGTTGAATAGCGCCGGGCTGCCGTGCGGGAGGTCAAAGGTTCAAGCCCCAGACCGGACCAACATTCAGGGTCTTAATAACTGAGGAAAATGTGCTACCTTTGCTATGACATCATATAATTAAACATTCTAGTCTCTGATAAGGACGAGAAACCTTTACATCTTCTCAGTGCTAGTGAGTAGAAAACGTAGTTCTTAGCGTTATGATCTGGCCTCGTTATTGTTTATATATCTTTTTTTTACAATGGGCCAGCCTGTCTAAATTTCGAAAAAAAAAATCAATAAATAAAGAGGAGCTTGAAGTAGAAACAAGCTAACTTTCCAAATGAAAATGTCGGTGACCAAGTATCTTAAACCTCAAACCTCAAATATTAAATTTTATTTAATTCCAAGTCTTATTTTTCTTTTGTTGATGGATTATTTTCTTTCCCTTAGTAAACATTGGACAATCAGCTTTTGAGTCGTTAACGCAGATTGTCCATCGACTTCATGTGCTGTTAGAGAACAGCCAGGATGAACACGGCCGTAATCAGCTGCTGGCTTCATACATCACTTATGTCTTCTCTGCTCCTTACAATCACTCTCCACCATCATCACCTGATCATTATGCAGGTTGGCTATTGTATTCCTTCTATTATTTGGTTATCAGCGATGGTATCGATGGTATAATAGTCAGTGCACTGGACTCTGAATCGAGAGGCTCGGGTTCAGGACCTGGCCGGGTCACTGTGTTGTATTCTTGGAAAACACTCTACTCTCAGTGCCTCTCACCATCCAGGAGTATAAATAGTTAATGGTCAGCGGAATGTCAGGGAAGCCTGATGAAATGCTAGGGGGTAATTGCTTTGAAACGAGGTCTTTTTGGGTGGGTCATATGGGTTGAGTACAGACCAATTTACCTACCAATTTGCTCCTTCCCATCGCAAAAACATTAATGATAATGGTAGTGTGTTTTATATCAATATTCTCGCATATACATGAATTACAATGTTGTTACATTAAATTTTAAAAATAAAATTTAGAGATATGTTATTATAATTTAACTATGTAATGTACGATTGATTATTAAAAGATAAATTGTACTTGGAAAAAAAAACCACGACGTAATCAGGCTTCCCGTTCTATACCTCTTTGATATTGTATGGTTCTTTGTGTTTCTCGTTTGGTGATGGCGCGCCGACACCTTCGTCGAGGGGGAATGTTTGGAGAGTGGGCCCCCTCTTGGTATCTTTTAAGGTGTATTCAAACAAAGTTAACTTCGTCTTTCATCCTAGAACCATCACGTTCAGCGAGTATACCAGTTGGGCTACAAAGTAAAGCAAGACAGAAGATGTCAAGCAGTAATCCTCAGCTAAACTCAGCGGATGAGCAGCAACCTTCATATACAACTGGAAAGTGGGTGGATGAGGAAGAGGAACCAAGGATGGCTGAGGTGATGAACTTGCCTGGCAACAGGAGCAGTATGGCAGAGTCTCGTCCCAGCTCCCTGGCTGTTCCTGGTCTTGTTCTTGGCAGCAGTAATAACAGGAAGGTATGCAACAGTGATTTTAACTTTTTTTTTTCATTATTGTTATTATCATCATTAATATTATTATTATTATTATCATCATTTTTATAATTTTTGTTAATAATATATCAGCCTTCAATTCTTTATTGCTAAATTTTAGCCTAGATAAATCTTACGTATTTGAATCAAAGTCAACAGATTTTTAAATATATTTAGTTTTTTTTCCCCTAGCAAACACACTTGTAATGTATTCGTATTCAAAATTTTATTGTTATCCGACAACATATGTAACAATTATATAATTATAGATTCCATTGTAAATAGATATAAGCACTTGAAATATTATGGTGCGCGTGTACTACAGCGCTCATGAGGGCCTTTTCGCAGGCTGATGTGAACCTCAAATGCGGCAGAGCTCAAAACAAGTTCTCTATGGCTCTACTAGTAGAGCATCCCACCATAAAATCTAACCTGACTTAGATTTAGATCCTTGCAGGAAACCAAGGTTATTACGATGATGTTCAGAATCTTTTTGTATGAAATTTCTTTTTTTTTCAATAGCTGGTGCATGAGGAGTTGGCTTTGCAATGGGCTGTGGCTTCTGGACCTGTCAGAGAACTAGCAATGGGTCATGCTTGGTTCTTTTTTGATCTGATGGTAAGTTGACTTACGCGATTATTTTCACTTGAATGTGGTACAAAGAAGGAACATTAGAACTTAAAATAAACAGTTTTAACTCAAAGAAAAATTTTAGTGTCGTAAAACCGTTATTAATCTATGAGAACTTAAGGCGAAAACAAGCAAGAGAATCTGATTTTATCAACGGAGTTGTTAATGTAAATTGGTCATCGTAAAGAGTTTCTAAAGCTGACGTCTCGAGCGTCAGCCCTTCGACGGAGTGAATGGAGGAATTGTGGGTTATGAGTGGGTTATATACAGAAAGATGGAGCTGGGCTATTTTTGGGCGCATGGTAACGAGCAATACACAAGAATGAATTAATAAAGGAAGGTAAGTTTTAAAGTAACTGTGGTGGGAGATTATAACAGGGTAATTTGGTATTATAAACTTAGTTGATAACGTAAATTGCCCACCTTTAAGAGTTTACTTTATCAACTCTGTTGATATTATCAAATTGCCGTACAAGAATAAATTAGTTGAATGAAAACTGTTTGTTAATACAGTGGGTTTTAGGAGGACTGATTTGAAAATAATTTTTCCTAGATTTCCTCGGTTTTCCGAACTGTTTAGAGTAGGAAAGGGCCACAGACTGCCATATGTGGCTTTATTAACATTGTTCTCACACTTTCGTGCTTTACCTCCTTTCTTGTTGTCACTATTTATCATAATTAGCATTGTTCTACTTACTATATAATTCAACTTTCAACGATTTGTACAGTAATTAACTGAAGATGACAGAAGTTTCTGTCAAAACGATTTACAAACTCAAAAGTTTTGTAGCTTTCTTTAAAATATTGTAAAACCCAGGAACACAGTTTCTAAAAAAAACTTATCCCTTTATTGAAACGAGGAAACTACCAATTGCAAGTTGAGATTGGATTTAGTTTTGTTCCTGATAGGTTAAGAGTTTGGTTTGACTCTCTTGACTATCACAGTGTGAACTGAATTTTAGAGGAAAAACATCACAATCCCATTACCTGAGACAATCCTTTGAAAATCGGTACAAAAAGGTGATTCATTACGATGTATTTTTACGATATTCACAGTTTAAGAGTATGGCACAATACCTGGAAAACACAGATAAGTTTTTCTGGACAAGAAAAAGCAGGTTTCCTGATCAGTTTTTAGGTGACATACGTGCGATGGTCAATTCTACAGTTTTTGAGATCATTGGCAAGCTTGAGGTAAGATTTGCCAAATTTATTGTCACTTATGTCTTTGTGTCACCTTTTTGTGGAAGAAGTTTCAGTGATGGACGTGTTGTAGTCATTATTTTCAAGCCTAAGTATCTGTATGCGAGCAAAAAGCGCACCTATCCCTCCCCTAACCTAACATTAACCCCAACTTCTAATCAGTTGACTTTTGTTGACTTATGGGAGGGGTAGGTGTGCATTTGCTAAGATAGTGACATTGATCTGTATATCCACGCTAAAAAATAAGAATTATTTGTTTTTTTTTACAAAGAAATAGAAAATCTATTTATTCCCCTGGGTTCACTCTTGGTTTAAGTTTCGACATTGTTGGGGGGGGGTGTTGGGGGGGTGTTGGGTTGGGGTGGGGTGGGGTGGGGGGGGGGGGTGTCAGGGGAATAGATTTGTAAGGTTACTCTTTTGAGGAACATTTGAAATAAAACTTCAATTTGTAAATAGACGAAAAATATCTTTCTCTTTTTCTTTACCGAGGTCGAAACTTTCCATCTCTCTTATTCTATTTCCAAACATGACGCTATCGACACTGCTGATCCTAGCAGTATGCAGGACGCGTCTGATATGAACTTCGTAATACACTTCGCTCACCGTAGAGTCTCTGTGGCTCAGTGGTAGAGCATCAGAGCGAGGAATTCGGAGGTCTGAAGTTCAATTCCTCATGAGGACTCAAAATATTTACTTTGTTTTACACTCGTGACAAGAAGAAAAATAGCTTTCTCCAAAACTGCAATATATAAACAACAATGATGCTGGAATAGGGTCGTGTTCCCAACATTTTTGGCTGAGATTGGAGATACGTGTGTTGTGACAAGAATATTCATGCCTTTTCCTTGAGGGGCTTTGTTTTTTTTACATCCGTTGCCCTCCACTTAAGAATCCTCCATTCTTGTTCACACTCTCTATGAATTATTTTGATTTTATGGCTTTCAGCTTTAAGCTTTCAGCAACTCCTCTCACCGAGGCTTGGTTGAGTGAAGGGAATAAGATGAGAAGCACAAAGTTAAACAACTTACTTGACATTACTTCTTCGTATATGATATTTTTATAGTTTATTTTCTCTACAGATTGTCTCAATTTTTTTTCGTTTGAATTGTAGGATTTTACCCTCTGCCGGCGGCTGAACTCCAGTTTAGCCTTCTTCTTGTACGATCTTTTGTCCTTGATCGACAGAGGCTTTGTGTATGAGCTTATCAGGCATTACTTTAGAGAGGTATGCAAACATCTCGCTAAAGCCCGTCTCCTGGCTTTGTCGAAGTCTTTGGGGGGGGGGGGGGGGGGTAGGGGGTTTAATGTTGATGAAAAAAAGAAATTTTTAATCACCGTATTTCCTCGAATAAGCGCCCACACCCTAGGCCACAATGTCAAACAAGCGCCCCCTTCGAATAACCGCCCCCCTCTATTTCCTAACTTTCTTAACTAGTAGGGATACAAGGAAAAGTTGTTTCTACTTCCACTTTATTAATAACTTTTTAAGCTTCAACTACAGCGGGATCAGCACAAGTTCATTGTTTCTTTTTCGTTCAGTTACTTCCAGCTATTCCTATCTCCCTGCGCTTGCATAGTTCGTTTATGTGCGTCATGTCTTTATGTCTGTTTTTTTCCTATTGCCACGCAAGAATTTTGGTGTCGGACAGGTAACAACAAGACGGAGAAACATCCTTCCAAAAGTTCTCCTTCTCCAGTGCAGGGTTAAGTGTTAGACTAAAATAATTCCTATTACTTTTCATTAGATGCATTATCAAGCCACCAATGAGACCAATGAGCCAGCAGCGAACCAGCTAAGACTCGAGTTCCTGAGGATCGTTTGCAGCCATGAGCACTACGTGACCCTCAATTTGCCATTCCCATGTCCCCTCTTCCCCACTCCTCCCTCATCACCTACAGCTTCTGTCTCGTCAATCGACTCGGCCATGTCTACCTACACCTTAGTGATCGGCAACAGTATGGCGGAACTTTCAACACCTTTTAGACAGCAGCATTTCCTGGCTGGTCTGGTGCTATCTGAACTGGCTCTGGCTTTGGAAGGAGGGTGAGGAACTGCTCATTATTTATTATGGAGGGGGTCCGGATGATTTTGGTTTTGTCACGATTCTCCCCTCTCTCTCCCCTCACCCCTCGTTGGCAGTCAACTTTTGTACTTTGTTAGCGACGACTGATCTCCATTCCCTTTGAAAACTGCGTGATCCCCTCAAAGCCTCCGACCTCCTTAATGACGGGTGTCTAATGTTTTAAATGTTGGTCAGAGTGTATTTCTATAAGTGTCGTGAAACTAAACCCTGAGTACTCACAACAGCCGGTTGAAGAGAAGGAAAATACCCAAGAAACTACATTCAGGCCGCAGTTGTTCGAAGTGTGGAGAATGCTATCCATCGGATAAATCTCTATTTGGTGGATATGCAGTACGTTTTGATAAGCCGCTGGATAGCAATTTCTCGGTTCAGCTCCTGTCTCCTGCCCTTGGTGGATAGCGCACTTCATATTGTTAACACTTATCCGCTGGATTGCGTCTTTTTGAATAGATAGCATTATTCAACTTTGAACAACTGTGCCCTGATGGTTAGATATTGATTAGTTGGTTTTTCCTTTTATCGTCGCAAAACCAAGCCCTAAATTCTCACAGCAACTGGTGATTTTTTCCAACAGCATACAAACTTTCTGTTGTTGATTTTTTTTCTAGGGACATGACCATAATATGCCAAGCTATAGACACCACACGTGATCTAATAGCCTGTCATGACTCAGACACCCGCTATGATAACGTCTCCTGTCGCTCAGCCGTGGCGGCTCTCTATCTACCCATTGCTGGACTGGTGGTAGGAGCCTTACACCAGCTACATGGGTATGGTACCAAGGACAACTTCAGCTTCACCCCTGATGTTGCCATGGCGATAGCCACGTCCAGTGTATCAACCTTAAAGGGATCTGATGACAGCAGGAGTGAATTTTCATCGCAGGTTGTTAGAAAGTTCATGAAAACCTTTCATTTCTTTTTCATTTTCTTAATCTTACAAGACTGCCATATTAGTTGAGCTAGGTGCTACGGAAGTTTAACAGCTACGTTTTGACGTTAAAATCGTTGCTCTGTTTCCAGTAGCAACGTGTTGTTTGAATTCTCTTGGCGGGCTTTCACGTTTGATTGTTGGTGGCGCACAGCCCTTGAGGTTCGGTTACCATTGGAAACAAGGAAGGTTGCTCGGAAGAACACTGTTATTTTACCATCAAAACCTTGTCACCCAACTTTTCTGCGCCTAACTCAACTGATAATCGTAGTATTCAGGTGCGAAAGCTTTTTAACCCGTTACTTTCAAGATTTGGAAGCAGATTTTCTTAACTGATGACCACACCATTTTGGTTGGTTGTTCGGGAGAATTTTCTGTTGGATCAACACAACAACGATGACGATTGCTCTTTTTTAAGATCTTTATGCTCGACAGTGTATTGTTATAATAAGGCGAATTCTTCGAATGATTACTCTTAGTAATGAAAAGTTTAATTTTACAGATGACACAGTTTATCTCAAAAACTCAATTCCATCATTATTTTAAATTGAGTTAATTTGGTTTTAACAACTGAGTTGAGAATGTAAATGGCACCGTGTGGACTTTCTAAAGCTGACGTTTCAAGCGTTAACCCCTTTTCTTTCGCTCTGACGAATGGCAAACGCTTTTTAGACCTCCACTGCTACCGACGTAATCCCACATTTTCTTTATAAACTTAGTTCCTTTATTATTGTAAATTAAGATACGTTTAACTGATCGTGTTGGTAGTGAACACGGTTATAGATATCCAACAGCATAGAGGGACTCCTTCGTGAGACGAAAGAACAAAAGTTTTGGTAGATTTTGATGTTGCACCGCCTCACTTGCTTGTGATACTCTGCTTTGTTGTACAGAAAAGTAAACCACAGCAGCTGAGCCTCGAAGCTACCAGAAACCTGTTGGTATGTCTGTTGTGGGTGCTGAAGAACATGGCTAGTGACGTGCTAAGAGATTGGTGGGCTGACCAACAACCTGCTAAGTATGTTACCAATTCGCATTTCCCAGTACGCATTAGTCGCTTCACCTAGCCTGTTCCAGGAGTCAATGACACGGAGCGAATTCGTAACGGCGCAGTAGTAGCGGCAGCGCGAAATGAATGAGGTCTAGGTCGGGTTATTAAGAGACCAGACCCAAACCTCCCTCGGTTATTTTGCTTTCTCCTCTATAACTGCGCCGTGTTCTGTCCGCCGCCTGGTTAGCTAAGTTGGTAGAGCGCCAGTCTGCTGTGCGGGAGGTCGAGGGTTCGAGCCCCAGACCGGACCAACACTCAGGGTCTTAAAATAACTGAGGAGAATGTGCTGCCTTTGTAATTGTACCAGCAAATGGTTAGACATTCAAGTCTTCTCGGATAAGGACTATAAACCGTAGGCCCCGTCTCCTGCATCTTCAGTGTTACATGGTCAGCAGGGGACGTTAAAGAACCCACACACTTGTCGAAAAGAGTAGGGGGCGTAGTTCCCGGTGTGGTGGTCTATCTGTTGTTTCATTGTACATTTCATGCATGGGCTGGGTGGGTGAGTGAGATCAAATATGGACTGATAGTGGCAGCCAGAGGCGCCTTTACAAGCTGACGTTCGATCTCACTCAATTAGAATTGTAAACCGCCTTGAGACAGTATGTGATATGTGCGGTATATAAATACACATTCATTCATTCATTCTGTCGTTCTTCGTTTTACCCACTGAACTCTTAGAACAGGCTACCTAACCTCAATGACTGTTCACTTTCACCCAGATGGGCCTCAAAGGGATTGTTTTTAAATTGGGCCTCCCTTTCATACGCTTCCTCTGTAATCGGTCACCGAAAACGACTTTCCGTTTTGGGGTAAAGTTTTTGATAAGTGTATGAGGAGCGCGGAATCAGAAGATTTGAGGTTCTTTTCCTCATGAGACTCGGAACTATTTTATTGTCTGGTGCTCGTGACAAAACGAAAAACATCTTTCTCCTTTTCGTTTTGGAGCTTCAAAATCATGATGTCTTTCAGTTTAAGAGTTAGGTGGTTAAAACTGCCGTAAACCATTTTTATCGTTGTACCATTTCAGACTTGGCTTGCTGCTGGACGTTCTTCGGCTGTGCATCACTCTGTTTGAATATGGCGGCAAGGTGCAGAAGTCTTCACAGTTTCAAACTGTGCCAAGACCGAAGGCGCAGCAGGATGCAAAAGCAAAAATAGAAGAGATGTTACTTGGAAATAAGGGAGCCGCGAGAGAAATGATGCAGCGACATAGCAGAGTGATGTTAGGTAACAAAACGAAATGATTAAAGAAAGACATAAACGTTTGCCACAAAGGGTAACACGAAAGAATCCTTGGATTGCTCTGCTTGGATTGCATTACTTGGATTGCACCTTGGATTGCTTTTGTAGGGCATCAGAGTTTGTCTTCATTCCGCCCTTGGATAACATTATTCGTAAACAAACAGATTCATTTCCAAAGAAAACGCTGCTTTGCAGAGCTTGACAAATGAAGCATTTGAAAATTGTTCGCCGCAACAAGTTGACGTACTTAGGAGCAGAAAAAAAAACATACAAATCCGCAAAATTAAACTACTGCAAAACTTTCGTGCAACACATTAAAATATTCCCTCGGTTTAAACTATTTCGTGTTTTGTTTCCAAACAGAAAAAGGCCAGTCACCAACCCCTGAGGCTCGATTAAGATGGCGAAAGGATCAAACACAATGGAGACAGGCTACGGAACAACAAGACAGGTACACACCGAAAACGTTTCAATAAACCCCAGGGGGCTGACAAGTCCGGGGGATCTACGGAGGTTATTTCAGAGAAGGGCTCATTGAAGGGTGTGGGTTTACAAGAGAGGGAAACCTCTTGGAGAGGAAGGTTTACTAGAGTTTATCAGGGAGAAGAGCTCTTTAGATAGAGTGGCTTATCAGAGAATCTTTATGGTATTCGTTTTATTCCTTGTAGTTAAATCACTCTCGCCAATTTTTATTTGTTTCGTTGTCTCCCGTAAAGAGTGCGTCCTGAAGTTGAGGTCAATGCTCAAATCGAAGGAGGGCTTGCTGCTGAAGTCAGCACCATTGTTCTTGATACACTTGAGCACTTGGTACAGGTCAGTGTTGATTACCTGTTAACGCCTGCGTCGCAAGAGGGGGTTGGGTGCCCATGGGCCAGAGGGCTGCTACCTTAATTACACCCCAAGGCGAAAGAACACCCACAGGCATACCAACCCGCAACCCGAGCCCCCCACTATAGCACCCGTCACACTGAGGCCAGAAGCCCAGTGGAAATAAAATGCACAAACCCCCGAAACAAGGAAAAAAATCCCGGGAAGGAGGGGGAGACCTTAAACCAAGAAAGCGGAGGGAGGGAGGGAGGGAGGGAGGGAGGGGGGGAGGGGAACCAAGAGAAACGCTACGCTACTAGAACGTCACACCACGCCACGCTAACAAAGCTTCTAGTACAACGCAAACAAAACGTAGGCACATGGCCTGCGTATGCACCATAACAACATACCACTGAACAGGAATTTGCCCCCATGCTCTCAATGGTAAACGCTACAAACGCAGACATAGTTACGCAACAGCACTACAAACGGCCAACACGCCACCAAAGAACGCCAAAAACACTCGCGACCATAGCTCCTAGTCGTTAATTACGTTAAATATGATTTAATAGTATTCAGCTACTTTGAATCAAGAGAAAATGAGGCAGCATATGAGATGGCTCTTGATCCAGGCCTTGAAATATGTTACTCCCCCTAAAGTTGTTTTTGGGTTTTCTTACCATGGCCTTTAAGACGTCTGCATTAAGGCTTAAATGACTGCAATGTGAGATCCTGTTCTTTGTCGTTGGATAGTATTTAAGCGGAAACTTTGTCTTTCAGACCGTGTCTTCCTCAGAGTCTCTGCGTGTTGTATTGAGTGGAATCCTGCGGGTTTTACTCCATTCTTTGAGCTATAACCAGAGTGAAAGAGTCTTGCAGAACATATTTGCAACTCAAAGATCAATTGTCTATAAGGTAACTTAACTACCTCCACGAGACTATGAATAGAAACCTTAACATCTGAAATAGCTTTTTCTTTGGTTAGTTAGCTGATGTCTGCATTGTTTTGTCGAGACATAGGTGTTGCATGTAGATTGTTAACATACTGCTCTCTTTTCTTTTCAGTTCCCAGAGCTATTGTTTGAAGATGACACAGAGCTTTGTGCAGACTTGTGTTCCAGACTCTTAAACCATTGCAGCTCGGCTCTTAGTAGTATTCGGGCTCAGGCCAGCGCGTCACTCTATCTCCTCATGCGACAGAATTTTGAAATAGGAAATGTAAGTTGTAACTGATTGTTGGACACTGATTTTAAATAGTGCTGCTGCTTTTTTTTTTTCTCCATTGCTGGTAAACTGTGGTTGAAGAGTATTGGGCTTCCATAATGTGTGGGAGACGCGCTTGGCGAAGTGGTTTCGTTCGTGGGCCTGTTTCTTGAAAGTTCCGCGAACCTAACGGGCCTGAGGTCATAATTATTTTAAAGTTTAAGCCGAAAAAAAGTAGTGCGTAGTTTTGCTAAACAGCTTGTCCTTTTTGCTTCGTTGTCTCGCATATTTATTGTTTGAATTTCAAATCCATTTTTACATCGATTTGTTATGTAAACGGAACAAAATTTGAAAGAAAGAGCAGCTTTTCATAACCGGTAACTACAAGGACGTTTTAGTAAACGGGCTCCTGGACTCCAGATCAGATGGAACAGGTTTTGAGCTCTGGTGGGTCGTTGTCGCATTGACCGGCCAGTTTTCAAACGTAGAGTTGTCCTGGGTAGGACGCTTTCCCCTTACAGTACCTCTCTTCGCCGAGGGTTATCGATGATGACTACTTACAAACTTAGTAGGTAATCTGATGAATTGCGTTAGGGTGACGATGGACGAGTTTTCCATCTGGAAGGAGGGCAATACTTCAAGTTGCTTCAGGAACCGGGATAAGCTCCTTGGCCTACTTGGATACTAAGACTTAAGCTTAATCCTACACAAAGTGCTGCGATTGAGAGTTAAACAGAGGACTTTCTGGTGTTTCGATAATTTTATTTTATCATCTGAGTTGATTATGAAAATTGGCCTTCGTAAAGAGTTTCTAAAGCTGTTGTTTGGAGCGTTAGCCCCTCGTCAGACGAAGACGCTCTAACGAAGGGTTAACGCTGGAAACGTTGGCTTCAGAAACTCTTTACGATGACTAATATACATCATAAATTCAGTTGCTAAAACCAAATGATCATGTTATACCTCCCCCCTCCCCCCTCACACACACAAGGCAGCAGCACAGTTTCCTTAGGACCTTATCCCTAATACTGGTTTTTCTTTGTACGAACGACTATTCTGTAGAATTTTGCAAGGGTCAAGATGCAAGTTACAATGTCACTTTCCAGTCTTGTTGGCACTTCACAAGTGAGTTCATAAATGATTTTGTTTTGGCTTCTTTGTGCAGTTAACTACAATTTAGTTTGCCAGGTGTACAGTTATAAGTGGTTTCGACTGTTAGTTGAGCTTTATTTTAGATTATGAAATTTTTTAATGATTAATAAACGCTTTTGTGATGGGTTGTTAACGCTTTGCTCGGCGCAGTAACCGCGAAACTCTCTTTCTTTGCTTGCAGGCATTTAATGAAGATCACCTCCGTCGATCATTGAAAACAATTATTACTTACGCTGAATCAGACCAGGAGCTACGAACGAGCACTTTTCCGGATCAGGTGAATGTTTTCACAGCTATTTTCACGGACATTGAAGCTATTTTAAAAGTGTACCTATGAAAGTGGTTGGAAATTTCAAAGAGTTATTCAACTTATTGAAAATTCTCTTCAAATTTCCTAAAAGTTCGATTGTGGATACCCCCGCTCTAAACATTAATAGCCACACATACCAAATCACAACGCGCAATTCACGGACAGATTTTGCTCTAGTTACTGCAAATACTCATCACTTAAGTCAAGAATTTCTTTTTGTCTAGCTTCTTATGGAGAGGAGGAAAAACAAAGGACTCCGTTTGCATACTCAATGGATTGTGTTTTGTCGCTCTCTTACCTTTGGGTTGTTACTCTAATCATTCTTATACTGGGATAGAAATAAATCTCATATTTCTCCTAGGTGCGGGAGTTGGTGTTCAATCTTCACATGATTCTGTCGGACACAGTTAAGATGAAAGAGTTTCAAGAGGTACAATTTTTAGTTCCTGTTGTACACGTTTTTGATGGATTCCTTCAGTTCCTGCTGTGAAGGCGTTTTATTTTCCAAAAGAGAGTCTCGAAGAAGATCAGTCACTATTTTTTTTTATATATCTCAGACCTTTACCGTGCATGATTTGATCACTTCGTTACATTAATGTTTCTCTTCTGCACAACTATTGGCTAAAAATTTCTCTCATTGTCATTATATCTGTGGGCCTTCTGTAAAAACTTTGCCAAGTTTTCTTTACATTGAGGTTAAGGTTTCGCTTTGTATATGAAATTGCATGGGCCCGTGGGCAATGAAGGATTAATTTCACGCATATTTTCAAAGATTTCTCAAAATTTTGGGAAAGCTTTGAAAATACAAGTGAAATTAATCCTTAATTGCCCGAAGGTACTTGAGATTACCTGTTTATCACATGTAGGGCAAAATTTTTGAGGGAATTGCATTCGCGTACTATATCCGCGCGATGAAGCTCTTTTAATGCCGCCACAAATGTCAAAATAAGCGTAACTGACCAATAGATTCAATGAACGTTTTATTCTCAAAATACAGTTAACAAGATTACACGGCTTCATTCGGTTTAATTGCAATCGATAATCGTTGCCGCAAACAGCGAAAAGGCCCAATCAGCATCAAGAAATCAAGCCCTTTTGATTGCCAAAAGTGCCCTCGTGATTAAGAAAAAAATGCTCTCTGTCTCAGCTAATCAGCATTCAGTAATTTTGCCCCGCATGTGATAAGTTACCGAAACTGTGTGATTTGCCAAGCACAAGTTTCTCCTTGCATTCATGTTAAGTTTTTGGATAACTCCCAAGGATTGTTCCAGCTTCCTTTACTGCTCATCGCTAGTTATCGATTTCACGATATAAAATATTTCAAAAAATGTGAGGAGAAAGTAACATTTCCGCGACGATTTTTTTCTTGACTTTTATTGAAACCGTATTCATCATTTTATAATCTCATTTACTCAGGATCCAGAAATGTTGATTGACTTGATGTACAGGATTGCCAAAGGGTAAGTGATGTTCGCAAGATTTCTGATGCAGGCGCTCTTGCATTCGTCAAATCGTCAAACAAAAGGGATGAAGGTGACTGCATCAAAATAATGTTTTGAGATGTTGTTCCAAAGATGGAAAAACTCAGATCTCTGTTGAGTTTATAAATCAATGGCCCACTAAACGCTGATCGGATATTCTTCGGATGATTTCGGACTCTCTTCGGATGCCCAACTTTTGTGCTGCAGTTAAGTCAGGTAGAGTTCGGGTGTACGCCAAGTTCCGATAATGAACTTAAAAAGTGATGCTAAATGCACTATCGAAAGAGAAGTTCTTAGAGAAAATACACGTTCTCCCCCGTGAATATTTGAACCCCAGTCGTCAGTTCGGATTCGCCGTTTGGATGGTTTACGAATGAGTTCTTGAGATATCGCAGGCAGGCTGTAGCCAATATCACAATACCTTGAGGTAAGCTATTGAAACACAGTCGAGGCAGATCGAAAGACAAAGAGCGCAACGTTTTCGTCCGTATTTTATTTTAACGCAGGGTGTCGGTGTCTCTTCAAGCAGCACATAACATTGTAATCCATTTACACTTAATTAGCTGTAGCATTCACATTTATTCATCTTTTTCATGCTAGATATCAAAATTCACCTGATTTACGACTGACGTGGCTGTGCAACATGGCTACCAAACACGGCGAGGTACCAATAGCTTTTAGATACCGTATTAATTTATCCAAGCGAGGGGGTAAAGCTCTATGTAATTTTTAATTCCTTTCATTTGTTTCGAATGTCTGACGATGCAACCTGTTGCACTCGCGAAATACATATTTGCGTACAGACGAACGAAGTGCCGTCACTTGGAAACCAACTTTTCAATCTGACCGGTCGACATATTCTCTTAGATATTGGACTCCGCGTGAACGCTGCATCAAGCGTAGGTGCTCCTCCATAGTTGTAATAGTGAGTGAACTTCACTCACAGGAATTAATTGGCCAAGCTGGCAGTATGTGATCACTTTAATTCGAGTGCATCAAGAAACCATAACCTGACTGGACTCGAATGGTGACTCGTTGGCCTCCTTTCAAATCAAACTTTTGGTTAGGAGTTTGGCCGGACAATAAGTCAAGCTTTCGTTCCTTTTATGTCCTTATCTATTGTTTGAAGGAAAGGGTTTCTATTTTTTGCAAGGCAAAGGTTAGGAATCACCGGTGCGTAGCCAGCTCACCGGGCGCGAAATTCTAATTTCTTCGGAAGCGATAATTGTTACAAACACAGCCTTTGTGGGAGAGGGTGTGGTAATGATTGTTGCAGCTTGGACACATCTAAAGGGGATGGGGTGGGAAAGTTTGTGACAAGAGGAGCGAGGTCTGGACAATAAGCAAGCGAAAAATTGCGCATAATAGTTTGAATAAAACGACTCTGAATGTTGATTAAAACTTTTCTAACACTCGTGAACCATTAAAACTGCAGCTTCTTCCGGAATTTAAACTCTCCTGAGCTAAATACAACTTATACAAGTCATTTGATCTTTTTCGGGCCTATTCTCGTCCCCAAAGCTCTTTTCGCTTCTCTTAGCCGGCGCCGGCTAAGAGAAGCAAAAAGGGCTATGAGGACGAGAATGTTTCACTACTCTTCCCAGTGAACCGCTGCACCCAACGAATCTTTTTGCCGTCTTCAGAGTAATGCCGTGAGATTGTTTCAAACCAATCACGTGGTACATTGAAATGCACCTGAATTTTCCATATTACGTGATGTTCATTCAAAAACGTTACTCTCAAGGCGGCAAAGAAAGTCGTGGGTGTCGCGGTCTACTGGGAAGAGTAGAAGCGCTTTTGCAATCAAACTTGGAAGTTATTTGCATTTGAATAACAAACCGCTAGTTCACAGTCGAATCATTAAAGTGTCTGTTAAGTTGGCGTGTTATAATGCTAAGGACTCTAACAGTGAAACAAAGCTCAAATCCTCCGCATTTCCTTGTTGATGATCTACTGAATAAAGGAGGTAAAAGAAACTGCGGTGCTGCGTTGGTGGGAGAGTATAACAAGGTAATTTGGTATTGTTAACTGAGTTGATAACGTAAATTGGCCACCATTAAGAGTTTCAAAGTTAACGTATTGAGAACCGAAGGAGTAACGCTCCGACTGAGGGCTAGCGCTCGAAACTTCAGTTATGAAACTCTTTAAGGTGGTCAATTTACGTTATTAACTCAGTTAACAATACCAAATTACCTTGTTATACTCTCCCACCTGGTTGATAATACCAAATTACCTCCTTTTTCTTTTGTTGTGCTTCTTTCCGGCAGAATAAAGTGGAGGCAGCCATGTGTTTGGTACACACAGCAGGTTTAGTTTCTGAGTACCTGAGTATGTTGGAAGACAAGCCGCACTTACCTATTGGATGCGTTTCGTTTGAGAAGATATCCCCCAATGTGCTGGAAGAAAGCGCTATTTCAGATGATGTAGTATCACCTGTAAGTCTGTAATTTGGCCTTCCCAACACAGCATATGAAGCAATATTACTATGTCCGGTTGATAGCGCAGTACGTTTTGTTTACACTCTTTCGGCTGGATAACAATTTATCCTTAGGATATTGTTATCTGCCATTTGAACTACTGGGCCCAGAATGGACGCATGACACACTTTGGGATTTTTTGTTTTGTTTTGTTTTTGTTTTTGTCATTGATGTGAGGGTGGTTATTCTTCGTCAACCCGTGTTCGAACATGCTATGTGTTTAATCTTCAAACTCTCAAGACCTGGGAACTTATTCTCCTAACTGGAGAAACATATTTCTTTGTCCGAAACTCCTGATAAATCGGTGAGATATCGGTGAAAAATTCCCTTATAACCCTGTCTGCTCTATAGTGAAATAAAACTGTAATGAGAATTTACCTACCGATTAGTGGGAGTGACAGAGTTACGTGCTATCCTTGTTATTTTCAGAGTGATCTACTTTTAGTCTTCATCTTTTGTTCTTTTGTCCAGGATGAGGAGGGTATTTGCACTGGGAAGTACTTCTGCGAGAATGGATTGGTATCTTTACTCGAATCAGCTGCAAACACGTTTTTTCGATCTCATTTATTTGAATGTGTAAATGAGGTGTATAAACTGCTGATCCCGATTCTAGAAGCAAAACGTGATTATAAGAAGCTGACTCAGGTTCATCAGAGGCTTTCAGAAGCATTCAGCAAGATTATACAGACGGTGAGACATAATTTTCATAGATTGCATGTTTGGTCATTTTGACATAAAGGCTGTCAGTAATTGAGGTGTTTGTTAACAGCTTAGGTTTTTTTTGTCTTTGTTGTATTAATACTTACTCACTTGTATTTAACAAACGTAGATCCAATATACAGTTGTTTCTTCGGACTCGATCCTTTCTGGAATTGCTACTTCAGCCCATATGTAGGCGACTGAAACCAACCTGTGCAACTAAGCGTGTCATGCACAAACATGGATTTCATAAACATGCCGGGAAATGGGCCGTAAGACAAAATCCAAACGCAAGAGCATGCTTGCAGGCTCAACTAACGGCGGTTAGAGGTCTTATAGGCGGGGGGTTACCAGCTGTTTATGAAACCCATGCATCGAGTAATACTTTGCAAGCGAATTTCGTTCCTTTGTTATGTTCCCTCTTAGGAAAATCCTTTAATTTCTTTTTTCAAAAATTGAAAACTGCCAATCAGAGAGGGCGGAGCGCTAACTGAATCCTGCAAAAAGTGAATGTCTTGTTGGGTTGAAACTAACTGATTCCTTTTTATTGGATGTGAAGAGAGGTTTCACTTAAGCAGCGAGATTTGCTATTTTCAGGAAGGAAAGCGTATGTTGGGAACATACTTCCGAGTCGGTTTTTATGGATCTAAATTTGGAGATTTGGACGGAGAGGAGTACATTTACAAAGAACCCGCCATCACGAAGCTTCCTGAAGTGTCCCATCGTTTGCAGGTTAGTTTATTAGGCCTTGTTGGTGCATCTCGAAAAACTTTGTCTGAAATTTACCAGTTCGTCGGTTACAATCCGTTCTCATGTTCCCTATAGTTAGCCATCCTGGTTTTTTCTAGGTTTATTACAACCGCTTTGTGTTTTTATCCCAGTAGTCTAAATTCCGTTGATTTTTTCGAGTTGAAGGTTGTTTCGCACACCACGAAAATAACTTAAGATATGGTAATTTCGTTTGCTTCCGTTGTCGCCACACCACAGTCCGAACTCAAATAGCCTCAATTGTGTCGGAACGTTGTACCTGGCGGAAAGAGAAATTTTCAATTGGGTGTCGAAAAACCTCGCACCACTTTACCAACCAATCAGATGCAAAGCAAAACTAATCACAACTTGGTCGCTCGCGTTTTCCCGCGCTCTAGGTAGTTTGGACGGGTTTCTTTGAATTCTCACCGTTGTCAGTACTTTGGTTTTTGTTTTACGACACTGAATCTAAAAGCACTCTAACTAGAGGTAAAAATAACTAAAGAAACAGTGTTCACTAATTTTTCACACCGACTGTGTGTTTCCAACTGAACAATGTAGTCACATATATTTTTTCCAAGTTCACAGATTGGGAAATTCGATTCGAGCTGCAGATTGTCTCGAGCATCGTCTAATCAAACAAACGAGTCATCTTGTTTGCAGCACAACTTTCAAAAACCTTTACACAGGCTTTCATTTATTTGGTGTTGGAATTCAATTTGATTTATTAACGAAACAGGAGCTCAGTATGGTATTTGTTTTTCAGGCATTTTATGGAGACAAGTTCGGGCATGATGTTGTGGAAGTAATCAAAGATTCCAACGCAGTTGAACAAGAAAAGCTGAATCCAGAGAAAGCTTACATCCAACTTACCTATGTGGACCCATATTTTGACGAATATGAATTGAAGGATCGTATTACCTATTTTGACAAGAATTTCAACTTAAGTATGTTCACAACACTTTGACAGTCTAACTGACTCTCCTTTAGACTTTAAGAGCAGTTTTAAAAAGAGGGCTGGAAGTAATACGCTTCCTGATTGGTTTAGAAAACTCAAACTGTCTTCTCGTCCAATCAGATGCTGAATAAAAACCAATTTCGATTTTGCCAATCCTGTTTTTCCCTCACCGTAGGTTGCAAGTATGTATTTTGATGCGTTCCTTCTGTTGTTTTGTCTCCCCCTTGGTATAGAAGACACAGGACACGTCACTGTAGAACACCGCCCTCTTAACCCATGTTTTCATTATTTCCTTCGTTCCTTTGTCTTTTTGTTCTTAATTGTTTTATGTCAAGTGTGTAGTCTACACCAAGTCAGAGCCGAAATTTTCCACATTTCTGATTGGTTGTTTGGTTAATTTCACGGCTAGCAATCGAGAATTGCTCTGTTATCTATAAATGGATTACTTTTTCAAACTCATAGGAAGATTTATGTACGAAACTCCTTTCACACCGAGCGGAAAGCCTCACGGTGAACTGGTCACCCAGTACAAGAGAAAGACGATTTTGACTGCTGCCAACTCATTCCCGTATGTCAAGACACGAGTCAATGTTGTGCATCGTGAACAGGTCTGTCCAATATCGTTGCATGTTATGTTGTTTGTGTTGAGATACGGCTGTTTTTCTGTCATTCCACTTGTGCGCATTCAGATGCTTTTGGCAATTCTATTTTAGAGAGAGTTTTCGGCCAAAAAAAAAAAAATTGAACGATACCTCCTGTTTGCTCGTTCCCAGTGTCCTATGCAGGTTTTACACTTAGTTATTTTAAGCCGACTTTCACGACAAGCAAAATAATGTTTGACTTAAAGGAAACCACACAAGACTACCGGAAAGCAACGAGAATGGTCAACTATGCAGAAGATGAACATGGGTTGGGATGACCAGCTTAACTCTTGGACCCTACTGGCCTCTTATTTCTCATTACAATATCACCTTTGAATCACGCATTAAGGTCAAGAGAAAAAATAAAAATGATCACTAACCAAAGAGGCTCTAAACGAATTCTCCTTATTAGCACCGTAATAAATGTATAGAGAACAGTGTTAAGAATATGCATCCTGTGATAGGGTGTAAAGGGCTTAAAGATAGTGGCTTGACGTTTCAAGTAGCGCAAACCTTGACCCAGCCACTCTACGTGATCATTTTTCTGTGGTGGTTCTGAATGATCAATACACTTTGATGAATAATTTTACTGAAATTTCTACTACCGACACAAATTGGTAGCTATTCACTGCTGCATGTAGTTTACGTGGTGTTTCTTAAGGTATCGTAATTGTGAGTAACAAATCAATCTTCAGACACGTGTTTTTCTTCTAACATTGATTTTATTTTCGTTCTTGTAGATTGTGTTGAGTCCCATTGAAGTCGCCATCGAGGATATGGAACTAAGGACGAAAGAGCTTCTTAACGCAATCAATCAAGAACCACCAAACCCCAAGATGCTTCAGATGGTGTTACAAGGTTCTATTGGCACCACTGTTAATCAGGTCACATTTCTATCTTTTTCTATGTTCACTTGTGTGTAATCTCGTGGTGTGTAATCTCTCAGGTAGTCGATGGATCGGTCGATCAGTCATTCAGTCTGTCTGTCTGTCTGTTCATCTGTACGTTCGTAAGAACCCATGTCAACAAATTGTTGACAGGGACCTTAGGTAATCAGGACGAGAACGCCGGGGAAGTCGTTGATTAAAAAATGAATTTATATTTTTAGATAGAATTCCGCGAATGACTTAGTATATTGCGCTACTCCTCAACTTCACCATAACGTAGGCGATCAGCATCGAGTTTCACCTGAAATAATTTGCTGTCGGGTTAACTGTCATCAGACCATGCAAAGTTTGTCGAGCTCACGTTGTTACTATGCAGAAGACGGCTAAAAAAGGTACACATGTACAGACACGTGCTTAGCCTAAGCACGTGTCTGCACATGTGTACCTTTTTTAGCCGTCTATAAAAATAGCGGCTATTTTTCTGCGCATTAGATCTTGATGTGCCACGTCCTCAATGCCGTCGCGGTCTTCGTTTGGTTAAGGTCCGTACTATTGTAGTTGGAAGACGATGGAATAAACAACCAAAATTTGACTTTTATTTACCAACGATAGTTGCCTAACATGAAGAACTTTTTCATCGACAGTACACAACTCAGTCTAGGTATATCCTGCCCAATCCCGATTGAGTTTTACGGTTTGTTCGTTTTTAGAGTATTGCATGGTTTTGACTGAACATTTATCCAAGGTTGTTAATGATCATGTCATGTTTAGTACACCTCCTATTTGCAAATATGCTCGTTCCTTGTTCTTTCTTGGAAAATAAATTGTCTCAATCCAGACTTGAGAAGAGCATGTGAATGGTTTCAGTTAATCAACATTTTAAAGCAAGTCATAATATATTGTTTTCGTAGATAGCACTATAGTCTCTCTCAATAAAGGCTGACTTGTCTAACTGTCGCTTGTGTGTTGTGCTGTCTTTACAGGGTCCTCTAGAGATTGCTTTGGTATTCCTGTGTCACGATCAGGACGCTGAAGATGGCGGGGAAACGCCAATGATCACGAGACACCATCACAGACTCAGACTCTGTTTCAAAGAGTTTATCAAAAGGTAATGCGAGTGTATAGCCTGGCAGACAACAAACTGAGACATATAAAAATCAGTCAAGAAACACTTTTTTGTAAGAAAAAAGTGTTCTGATCAATCAGTCTCCTCCGTTAGTTAAATATGTAAATCCTTGAAGACAAAGCCTTCCTCAGCAGTTTAATCATGATTTTATTCAAGAAAAAAGGTTTAAGGCGAAACAAGAATATCTCAAGCACTGTGCGAGGACATGCCACTACCGTTAGAACCAAGAACTCCCGGCAAACCCGATGTTCACGAGAGTAATGCAACGCGTAACAGAACAACAAGACTTGAATGTTAAAGCAACTTAACCGAATATACGTACATCACAGCTAGCCCAAGCTAACGAATAAGCAGAAACCTTCGTTGTTTAAATTAAAATGAGAGAGTTTGGATGGGAATTTTGATAATCGCCATATAGAAGTTCGAAATATTAATTGCGGCAGAATTCCCTCTTTCCGGTTTTTTGGATCCCCAAACACCCTATGCAAACCTTAACACTTTATGTTATTCAACGGATCTTCGCGCGCTCGTTACCTTGGGCCACATTTTCTACCTTCGGGTATTTGCGCGGTACACTGTGGTTCATGCAAGAAACCAAATGTCACCACATCGTCACTCGGTGCTCTTCCTCCCGACAGACCGCTACCGTCTGACCCTGTCACTTTAGAATAACAATACTTCAATACTCTTACTGTTCTAAGGAATTTTATTGCTGTGTACTAGGTGCGGAGACGCTCTGCAAAGGAACAAGCATCTTATCGCATCTGATCAACGTGCCTATCAGAAAGAACTGGAGAAGAATTTTACACAGCTCACCGAACAACTCGAACCTCTCTTGAGAAACAAGTCTGGCACCTTACGTGGATCCACCAGGCAGAAGTAAGTTTATATTCCACGCTAATAGTATTCCGTGGTTATTGTCGCAGGTGCTGGTGTTGTCGCTAGGAGGCCAAGGCGAATGTTATCGAGCTCCTCTACCTTTAATAGGCTTGCCATCCGTCACTTTTTGAATAAATCTACCAGAGTTCTATCTCAATTATTGAAATCTGATTGGCTACGATACTCGAAGTATATTTTGCGATAGACAGTTGGTAGCCAACAGTGTGCGGATGTAAACAAAACGAAATAAAAGCGTGAGCTATTCTTGATGTTATAAAATTTATCATATGCGGGGAAAAATTACTGATTGCTGATTAGCTGAGAAAGAGGGTATTTTTTTCTCAATCACGAGGCACTTTTGTTAATCAAGAGGGCGTGATTACTTGATGCTGATTGAGCCTTTTTGCAGTTTGCGGCAACGATTTATTGATTGCAATTTAACTGAATGAAACCGTGCGACGTTGTTAACTGTATTTTGGGAATAAAATGTTCATTGAATCTATCGGTCAGCTAAGTTTGTTTTGACATTTGTGGCGGCATTGAAATAGCTTCATCGCGAGGTCATCGTGCGCGAATGTAATTCAATGCAAAGGCAATTAAGGACTCATTTCACGTGTATTTTCAAATTTTTCCCAACATACGCGTAAAGTTAATCCTTAATTCCCTTCGTTTCTGGCGAAGTCCTTATCAGCCACCATGCATAGAAATCTGGAGCCAATAATCTCATCGCTAAATGGTGTAACACGTTTTTATATATAAAATGGTAGATAACTGCATACTTTATTGTCATTTTGCAGGGAAGGATCTGCACTGCTGAGGAAAATCTCCAAGAGTTTTAATACAGGACACAGTATAGCTTAACTCAAAATCCGTTGCAGAGCCTAATCTTTGCCGAGTCAGTTTTGTATGTTCAAGAAGTTGGAATTGATTGATTGATGGAATGATTAATGGATTTAATACTATACAGACTGTGAACCTCCTATTTGTGAAATTCTTTTGAAGTCGGTTGTGCGAAAAATTCGCAAAAAAGCAGAAACTTTTATCTTTTTTATGGGGGCCATAAAGAGCTTCTTGATATTCAAAGATCCATGTAAATTTAGGACATTGGCCACCGAATATTTTCCCAATCATAAGATGTGTTTTGTACTTCGTGTGATCATCATAGAAAGGTAAAAGAGACAGGTGTTAGCTTAATGTGCCAACAATCCTGCCCAAAACGTTTGGAGAACACATATCCCTTTTTCCAAGTCTGTCCCGTGTATCATGAGCAAGTTACGTTCATTTTCCACCCACGAAAGCGGACTTGTCAATATTTCCTCCCTCCCTGTGTTTAATATTGTCCAGGGTTGAAGGGGTGAGTTCATGGTATTAGTATTTACCAGATGTAACGATAGTGCCCAGACATTTTGGCAAGATTGTAAGCTTTTATTAGAAAACAATTTATTGTGAATATTGTACAGGAACATGAAAGTAAACAATTTTTTTTTGGTTCAAAAAGAAAATTCTTTAATTTCTTATGTATTTGCAGAATAACAGTTAGTAAGGCTAGACAATATATTATATGCACAACATGCCAGCTCCGCACAGAGACATGATGAATGTTGGAACGAATTTGCAATGATTTTGCTGGTTTTGTTATGCTTTTTTTTTAAATGTGAAACGAGTTGTGGAAGGAGAAATGGAAAGTGCTTTGGTGGATCAACTTTATCAAACAGTTTCTTGAATAAAAAAAAAAACTTTGTAATGAGTGCTTAACTGTTGTTATTGCGTTCGACGAAGGAGAACGCATACTGATCGTGTCGTTTTTACGGAAATCACTCTCGAGGGTTTTATGGACCAGTCCCAAGGGATCGATCGTGATGCCATGCGATTTGAGGCGTTAGGTGCCGTTTTGGACTGGCAGACTGGCTATGCGGCACAAATAGCCTCGATCTCACGTGCAAATGTTTTCTTGGCCGCCTTGGTGAAACTCTTACTCTGGCAAGTAATGGCGGACGCTCCCCATGCGGCTCCGCTTATTTCGTTTCTCCTGACGCTATTTTTTGTCAACATGTTGCTGAAAAGCTCAAGAGATGATATTATCTATCAGAGGCCTTCATTCGAAAATGGTCTTATCGTCCTGGCCGCTACATTCCCAAGGATAAGTCACCGAAAGTTCGTCAAATCTGGAAAATCGATGCTTCGCCATCGCTATTCTACCAGAAAATATCTATTCATTCTTTTCCTTCTAATATCTAACGACATTCAACTGAACCCTGGGCCTCTCAATTTCTCGACTCTTAAATCATGCAGTCTAAATGCCCGTAGTATTGTCAAAAAGAGAACTGAGCTGCAAGCTATGGTCGCTACAAAGAATTAGACATCATCGCTATAACCGAAACATGACTGAACCCTGAAATAATGGATCGAGAAACCCTGTCATCTGATTATAATGGGGACCTTACGATCCGACAACGGCGACGGCGACGGCAACGTGAGAAGTCTGGGTCGAGCGGGGCCGCGTCGTGTTGGCGTTCCCGCCAAAATTGAGATTACGAATTTTACGAGCGAGAACGTTGACGACGGTCATTGATGTTTATCGTGTTTAAGTCAACGAAAGTTTTTTAGAAAGCCATGCCAAAGTTCCGTGACACTATTCTCCTGGCTCATGCTTCCCGTTTGATTAACGCTGAAGAATTCGTGCTTCTCTACGATTTACACAAGCCTAAAAATCCGGATTTACCGTACACTAACTACGAGTGTTTCGATCTCAACAAGATGACCGATGATGAATGTAACTAGTACCGCTGCCGACAAAATCTCTCTACTATTTCCTAGTAAACTCAAAATAAAATTAAGCTTAATTGTTCTCTTTTTTTGATCGAGAAAAAAGTTGGAAAGTAAGTGATAAGAAAGCTCAGTGATAGCGAGTGAAGTACAATCACAAACAAATACAAAGCAAAATAAGTCAAATCTCTCTCCATTCAGTTTGTGGTCGTTTACAAAAGACTCCACGCTCAGTTCGTTTCGGATATTTCAAACAAACTATTATTCTTTAAATTTAGTAGCAAAGTCTCGTTTTTACCTTGATTCATTTGCCATAGTTGGGTTTTAATTTCCACGTTTTCGCACAACGTCAAACAAGGCTTCTAGACGTCCGCGCGTGAAGGGACACCGCCGTCTCAGAAATCTACTCATGCGCAGTACGTAACCGGAAGTAAAAAAGTCCCACGTCGCCGTCGCCGTCGCCGTCGCCGTCGCCGTCGCCGTTGTCAGATCGTAAGGTCCCTAATGTTTACCGAAGAGATCGCCTAGGAAAAGGTGGTGGTGTTTTGTTAGCTCTAAGGGATAACATTTGTTGTTATAGACGTTGTGACCTCGAAACGGATTGTGAAATCCTTTGGTGTGAAGTTCATTTCAATCCCTGCTCAACATACTTTATTGGAGTATACTACCGCTCTCCTAGTAGCGATATGGCCTACCGAACTAAACTGGTCCAATCGCTAGAAAAATTTCCACCATCATGTAATATCCTTTTGCTTGGGGATTTCAATCTGCCCAATGTTAACTGGAACCTTGTAGCTCCATGGCAGCCGGACATTATCAGCGATTTCTTCTGCGACTCTGTTATTAATCGTTTTGGCCTCTCACAGCTTGTGAATAAACCTACCAGAGGAGACGCTTTATTGGATTTAATCTTAACCAACACTCCTGCTCATTTGACTTTAAAGTCTTTATTTCCCGTCCACATCAAGCTCCAAAGATCGTTTACGATTACAAAAATGCAAATTGGGAAGGTTTTCGCTCTGATCTTTCCAATGTCCCATGGGGCAATGTATTCTTAGAGAACAATGTTGATCAAATGTGGACTAAATGGAAAGAATTGTTCTTTGCTGCTGTTAATAAAAACATCAATACACATCATTTGAAAAGAAAAAGAAATGTTCCTTGGTTAACATCTGCAATTCGTCGCCTTTTTCACAAACGGAAACGCCTATGGAATAAAGCTAAATCATCTCAACTTCAATCTGACTGGGAAAAATATAAGCAGTGAAGAAACAAGGTCAAATCTGAAATAAACAAGAGTTATTGGCACCATGTTCAGTCTCTTCAAAACAGTAACAATCCTAAACGCTTCTGGACTTTCATAACATCTAAGACGAAATCACGATCTATTCCACCTGAAGTATCCCTGGAGAACCAAAAGGCTTCAAACAGCTTCGATAAAGCACAGCTATTCAACAACTTCTTCTCATCGGTTTTATAGAGAGTCCTGGTATTCCTGAGAAGTTACGTGACGATCTTCAACCTTTTACTGATAAAGTTATCTCAAGTCTACTTTGCTCTAAATCTGAGGTCGAGAAATTGCTTATTGGTTTAAACGTTACAAAAGCTCATGGTCCGGATATGATATCAGCGCGTATGCTTCGCGAGGCTGCACCAGCTATATCAGAGTCCATGACAAATTTATTTAACTTTTCACTCCAATCTGGCACCTTGCCTGTGGAATGGATATCTGCTCACGTCATTCCAATTTTCAAAAAGGGCCAAAAAGATCTAGTCAAGAATTATCGTCCTATCTCTCTTACAAGTGTGCTTGTAAAGACCCTGGAAAGACTGATATACAATCTCATTTTTGGATTTATTGAATCAAATAATCTACTTAGTAGTCATCAGTATGGCTTTCGTCCTGGCTACTCCTGTACCTCTCAGTTGATACACCTTTTCCATGAATGGGCGAAAGCACTAGATAAACGCCTCTCTACCAATGTAATATTTCTGGACTTCGAAAAGGCCTTCGACTCAGTTCCTCACGACCGTCTTCTACTCAAACAAGAACACTTTGGCATTACCGGCTCTTTACTTTCCTGGCTATCCAATTTTCTCCAAGGTCGATCTTAACGTGTTGTAATCGAGGGCTGCCAATCTGACTGGGCGCCTGTCACATCTGGTGTTCCACAGGGGAGCATTCTTGCCCCCCTGTTATTTATCCTATACGTCAATGACATCCCTGAATCTTTATCAAGTCCTGCAGAAATGTTTGCCGATGGTATGTTAATCTATAATTACTGTCCTCCATCTCAAACGTCCATCACTGCCCAGGAGAGTCTAGATAAAGTCACTGATTGGTGTGGCTCGTGGCTTTTAGGAACAAATGCTGACAAATGCGAGTCCATGAAGTTCACCACATCGCCCAGAATTCAGCGACATATCCGGGACTTTCATTGAGACGCTGGCGCTAAATTTAAAAGCTAATTAGAAAATGATTGTCAAACAATAAAGGAAAAGGGCTGAAAATGTCGAGGAAGGCTTACGTTCTCTTCGTCTACGGATAAACTACTTTTCAAATGCTACTTTTACCATATGGCTTTTAAAGAAGAAAGTTCAATTGAATAGTGTATCATTCTCACTTTGTTCTTGCGCTTTCAGAAGAGGTCGCAAATTTGCCTTGAAAATTGACTATGTTAGCATCCTGCTTGTATGAGAAGTCGATCTCAGCGCCATTTCAGGCGTAATTTATCTTCACTCAATTGCTAGATTTCTCTTTTACCATATGGTTATTTTTATTTGACATTCTAGAAAGCGTCATAGAAATTTTCAAGGGATTCCAAACTTTGGAAGTAGTCGCAAAACGCGAATTTCGAAAACGTTTGCTAAGCATCGTAGTATTCTATCCAAATTTGTCCTTTGGAGACCCCCACGAGAATACAAGTGACCTATTTTAAACTTCCCACGAGAATATCAAGGTATGTTAAGCTCCGCTTCCGCAAACAATCGCGCACACGCCGCCTAATTAGTATTGAAATTGAGGTGGTAACTAGACAATGCTTAAAAAACTGTAAAAGCTTTTAAGATATGATCGCTGAGATCGCTGCAGAAATATTCAGCAATCGTTACTATCATATGGAAACCACATATTATTGTCGCAAGATAGACTCTAGTTCTATCTCGACGATCGTCGCACTCACAAGCCGGTTGTCGGAAGCATCGCTCATATTTTTCTCTACCGATTGAAGCGATTTTAACGAAGTAGATTCTTCATGATACTTTTTTTCTAAATTTTTCTTTTTTTCTATTTTCATGATACTAATTTTTATAATTCCGATAACATTTTGACCAACGGGAGTCTGTCAGTCCATATAAGAATTCGCTGCAAACGAATTTGCTAAACGCTTTGTTAAGAGCGTGGCTATTGTTAATTATTGCTATTGTTCACTTTATGTCACCATGGGATTTACTTTACGCATCCAACCGTTTGATTGACAGCAGCTGAAATCTGCAAAGAGACTCATGTATTCCCAAAGCTTTACCTACTGACCAATCACAACCGACTAGTTCAGGATATGTAAATTATTATGCTGCCCGCTGATTAAATGGGCACTGCAAGTACATGTCGCGAAAGACAATAGCATTCTGGGCGATGAGGGCTAGAACTCCCTCTCCGTGCAACTATACTATTAATAGCAAGCTACTTATCCAAGTACCTACACACAAACAT